ATAGGGTTTCTGTGACTTGTGCACTGGTGATCGCCATCGAATGGTGGCACTTTGTGTCACCATGCACTGGTCGCTCGTTGAATTGTCCTGATTGGGTTGAACGACGCACACACACACACACACATACACACATGCATACATACACAAACATATATATACACACACACGCACACACATATATACACACACATACACACACATATACACACACACATACACACACGCACACACACACACACATAGTTAATTTTAAGGACAGCAATGCCAGGGCGGAACAATGACCAATCAAATGTCTACATCTGAGAGATGCAGTAAGCGAGGAGAATTTCAGATAGCTAGATACATTATGTATTTAAGATATTCTCGGAAATACAAAAAACAAACGGCACAGAACAGATGAGATTGTGAAAAGGTTGATAATGAAGTTTATAGAATATAAAACAGGCATAAATTATGGCTTCGTTTAAATACAGACAACGACTACCACACTTTTGATCGGCAGAAAAATACTTAGCCTAAATAGCTCACCAGGCGTAGCAGAATTAACAAACACACGCACAGGCTTCGCTGTTTGCTGTAAAAAAAAAAAAAAACTTATATGGATGAGCAAACAGACAATGTATTGATCGGCACGCATTGAAAGAAGTAGAAAGATAGAAGGTCAGACTAGACAACATAACAATCGAAAGATATAGTTACCATGCCGGGAATCCAACCTGTCACCACCAGATGGAGTAAGCCTGTCCTTACGCGCCGCCACCGCCAAAACCGACCTCTCTAGGTGACCAGCGTTGTCCTTGGGCAGGTGACAATCAATGGTTCAGTGACTTTTTGTGTGTGTGCAGTGTCATGGTAGACAGTATAGAGTCTACCGTTGTGAGATAAAGGTTTATCCCAAAATTGTGTTGATGAAGCTCTGCTGCACGGTGGGGGTTAACTCATTCATTACCAAACAACTCAACACGCGTTGTTGATGTGTGCTTATATTTATTTAACCCACGTAATGGTGTGGGAAATGATCAGTTACAGCGGAAGGAGTCAATTGGTGCACATTGAAGGGAGCTTAAATGGCCAACGATACGTCGGTGAAATTTTTTGACATGTACTTCAATTTTGGGATGCCAACATATATCTTTTCCAACAGGACAACGTCAGACCACATTCTACACGGCTGACCACACAGTTCCTGGCTGCCTATAACATTCAAACTCCTCCCTGTCCATCTCTGTTTGCAGACATCATTTGATTGATTGATTTGATTCAAGAACCGACATCACAGCACTCGGAGCATTCCCATAAGCGCTCCGTCCCCATCCTTAGCAGCCAGCGAAGAGTTCCGATACTTATGGTGCAAGTAGCATTCTGATTAAACTTCCGTCTTGCCTTTCCTTTGAGCATCGAGCATCTGCCCGAACCTCTTGTCACTCCACCCTGCATCAGTCTCACCAAACTGTGGTGATCCATTTGCTCCTCCGAACTGTACACGCTCTCCCACAAGGCCCTAACCACGTCTGCCTTATCATGTATTAGTGTTCCACCAAGTTGTGCAGTGCCAGCCAGTCTGTCCACCAATTCATTTCCCAACACTACGGTGAAAAAAATCCAGACAATACTCCTCACCCGTATCCTCCGCAGCAAAGCATACAACTATGCACGAAGCATGCCTGCCTTGATCTTCCTCAGCATGCTTTCTGAGTCAGTTACAATGTGTGTGTGTGTGTGTCGTGTTCTCTAGCCAGTGGATAGCTGCAGTGACCGCCTCCACCTTCATTCTTAAGCTGGATTTGTGGTATCATATGCTAGGCTCTCCAGCACCAGACGTCGACTATTAACTTTTGCTAAGAAGCCCCAAGCACTTCTTTTGCCTCTTGACACTGAACCGTCTGTGTAAATGATCAAATCCTCTGAGCGAGCATTATCTTAAATTATTTGCTGAATTTCCACCTCAGTGGCATCTGCTGGTCAGTCTCTGCATTCCTGGCTCAGGGTGATTATGACCCTGCTCAAGTCTGACTATACAGGTGGCACTTTGACCCACTCCTCTCCTCGCCTAATTTTCTCAAGGATGCGAACCTGATTGTGTCTTCCGACTAAGCCATCCATGACTTCCCTCTTACCAGCCGCTGACCCTTATCTGCATCCAGAGCTTTATGCAATGGGTGGTCTTTGTCTGCAGCTACCCTAAGATATGACTTCGCCTGCAGCACCTTGTGCCTACCTGCAACAATCGGCAAACCAAGGATGCATCGCATACACACCACTATGGTGTCTCTGGTGCAACCCAGAATGATCCACATAGCTGCGTTCTGTATGCGCTCTAGTTTGTCCATCTGACTTTTTGAGACGGTAAGCAGACATGAATGAGTCCGACTGAACGCCTGGGGGATGAGCTGCAAAGACATGTTTGTCGCCCAGACTTTGCTCCAGAAAATGGTCGTGTTCTGTTCCAGGCACTCCAGGAAGAGTGGCATGCATCCCACAGACCCAGATCAAACTTGTAATCACATACATGCCCAGGAGACGCAAGAGGAGGCCACACATCATACTAACAAGAAAGGCCATACGCCTAATAATATCGTGACTCAGACCAAAAAAAAAAAAAAAACCGATGTCAATTGATTGATGGAACCCTAAGGTATTCTTGTGTGAAATTTGAGTAATTTCACTTACTGAATTACAAAGATGCAGAATGTCAGAATTGTGAGTATGTATGTTCCTTTCAGTAGCTATGCGTTTCTTTAAAAAAAAAAAAAAAGAATATATATATATATATATATATATATATATATATATATATATATATATATATATATATATATATATATATATATAAAGGGTTATCCCTCTGTTTATCGATGGGAATTTCATACTGATAAGGTAAATAAACTGCCGAATATACTCTGCATTAATATAGACGAGCGATGAGAATACCCTGGACAATGAAGATCCCTAGAAGGAAATTGGTTGGCCTAGAAAACTGATTACCCACATCAGGTGGAGACAATCTGCATTCTTTATTCATGTCATGTAAAAAAAAGTACAAAGTAAAGGACCCTGTTCCACGCCTTTGTTCGTATAGGGCATATAAGGCTAGACCTATATTTTAATAGCCCAACGGCACAAGTTGGTTGATGTGGTCAGTATCACGCCGGCCGCCTCTACTTCCCGGGACTGCACCCGGTACCCACTCAAGGCTGGGTCGACCTGGGAGCCAAGGTCAGTTTTTGAAGAAAAGTCCGGCTTCGCAAGGGAGCTAACCCACGACCTTCCGATCCGCGGCGCGCGTCTAGCTGCTCTGCCACATCACTCTCGGGCATGTCATGAGAAGGAGAAAACTGGAGTACATCGTGGCGGTGGGAAAGTTGGAGGGGGGAAGATGCAAAGAGAGATCGAAGCTGAAAATGCTGGACAGTTTGACATCACTGAAAATCATTTGTGTCAGAACTACAAATTCCATAAGTCATATTCGTAAAACGGATGTGCACGCAACGTTCAGGTCCTGGAGCAAGAATAAAGTCTAGAGAACAACCAAAACTTTCCGCCGGAGTTTCCAACTGGTGAACGTGAAGAAGAAGAAAATATTGCTTTTTTAGTATTTCAACATTGTGTATCAGTTACTGTATTGTTGATTTCCTCTCCCGATTATGTTCTACTGCTGACATAAATGCGGGCAGCCATACAAAGACCAGAACTGAAGGGTGAAATGAGAAGGTGACAGGAAACTTTCCCGAGGAAAGAAATACAGAATGACGAGGGAGCAGGATGGGAAAGAACGCATAATTAGAGGCATATAGGTAGATATTTATTTTAATAACACTTTCTTTTTGACATATCGTTTAAAAAAAATGAGTACAGTCTTCCAGATTTTAGGTCTTATGAAACTGGTTTCTTCTTGATCATCATCATCATCAAGTGCCTTGCCGACTGGCGTGGGCGATCACGCCTCTCCACAATCTGTAATCCGCAGCTGCGTGTATCAGTTTGGGTGTTGACATCCCTCAATGCCAAGACAAAAGGCCGCCAAGAATCTTCTCGCGATGTCTTCCCCTGTCTCTCTTTCCACTGATCTGTCCAGTGGTCACAATATGTTCAATTTCGCCTCTTCTCCTAACATGACCAAAAAATGATGACTGTCTCTTTCTGATGTTTGTGATAAGTTGTCTCTGTTCACTCACCTCTTTCAAAACATCTGGGTAGCTCTTCTTAGCAATTCTAAGGATTCTTATGTAAAACGACATCTCTGAGGCCTCAAGATATTGTTCAGCTGCTTTATTAATTACCCGGGATTCACAGCCATGTGTTAAAACTGGCTCAAACAGCATGCGAGAATTCTTTTCCTAATCTAAAATGACATGGACTTAGTGCTTACAATGTAGTTTTTTTTTTTTAATGGATCATAAACCTTTAATAAAATGTTAAATCCGTTTGTCGTCTCACATTATATTCAAATAAAAAAAAAAAAAAAACTTATTTTTATGCGGACTTAACATATTAAAAACTTGGAACTTCCGTTTATGTTTCGCCGACAGTCTTAGCATGGAGTAGATCCTCTCTTCTCTCGCATAACAGAAAGTGATTACATGTAATAACAGCTGTTATTTAAACACACGTATGTGTATTCAGCGTTCCGGTTCACATTATTATACCTCTATATTAAACCTAATTTTTGAACTAAAAAATATATATATATTTGTTTTCACATATGCATGGTAATTAAGCTAAACTGAATAATAATATTATCAAATAAGTCGATGCAGACAACAATCAGAGTACTGAGTACACTGTGACTGTACAGTTGAGTATCGTCTCATTCTCATGGATTTACATTTTTCCAATCACTTTCACGCTAAAATTCAAAATCATTTTGAATCATTTATATCAACTACCGATTAAATTAAATTAATTTATATTTATTTTATTTTAATATAGAAGAGACCACAAAGAAACATAAACTGTTCGTTCAGACAGCTGACTTCAGCCTGACTTGTTTTACTTGGAAAATGGCCACTGCTCAATTAGATGTCATGATCTTCAACACTTTAGTTAAAGCGGTTGAAACGGCACTCAATCCTATCGTCGGTAATGAAGAACGGCAGCAGGCTCACAAGGTGAAGTATAATAGTTAATAATTAAACAGCTGGAGATAAATGTGAATGTATTTTTTGATCCAAGCAGTAGACAGCTGTGACTGAGGCCCTGTTAGGGTATATTTTCGGCCTCAATAATTTGGGACCGTTATTCGGAGGTTAACCCAGTAGACTACACTACCCTGCTAGAGCTGAAGTCAAGGCTTTTCTACTTGCTGTGAGCCACGGTATGAAGTACCTTCACCTTAATTAGGCATCATTTTTCCCAGTGCTACTCACTACTGTAAAAGACACTTTGTCATGGTATGTCATGGTATAAGTATAAGCAACCTTTTTTAATGCACTTTATGTCACTTGTGGCAAGTACCGACTCCATTTTATCTAGAACAAAAAGCTCTGGTTGAAATTAAATGGGGTAGTCTGGTGGGAGATAATTAGTGATTGATCACAGGATTGCTGTTTAGTCAAGTTAGTCATCTGGCATACAAAACTTAAGGCTATCTTCCGAATAACGGTCACAAATTATCGAGGCAGAAAATATACCCTAACAGGGCCTCAGTCACGTGTCAATTGCGCACTTCCGGTGACTTAAATTGCGCACTTCTGCCACCGCGGAGAGTATCCCTGACGCCGCTCGCGCTGTGTGGATTTAGGGCTAAACTAGGTGGCTGGGACTCACGAGCAGCAGCTACCGCATTTCCTACAGCTGCCTTGATTTTATTTGCTCATGTGTCCCAGCCATCTAGTTTAGCCCTAATCCATGCCACATGAGGGATACTCTCGGCGGTGGCGGTAGTCCCCAGAAGTGCGCAATTGACCCGTGACTGAGGCCCTGTTAGGGTATATTTTCAGCCTCGATAATTTGGGACCGAAGTTCGGAAGATAGCCAAACTTTAAACTTGGGACTCACAAATAAAATTAACCATCTCCTTGTGGTACTTGGGTTCCATTGTATGGAAGACAAGAATAGACACACTGAGTCCCCAAGAAACATGTTGTAAACATCAACTAACTCAATTAACTGCAGCTATCTTTGAAAATAAAGTCCATCTGTCTATGAGGCAATTAACCAAGTCTGCATACAAATAAGTCAGAAATGTAAAGTTGATGTGCCGGCAACACACAAGTTCTGGAACACGACTGAAGTCCAGAGGTGGACTAACAACCAGAACATTCTGCCGGAATTGGCAGCCAGTGAATGCAAAGAAGATTTACCATATACTACCTACCCACCTAGGCTAGTGAGGTAGCTGTTGTTATGGGTGCCTTAATTATAACTTCTTGGGAGGTTGAAGTATCTCTAATGTCCTGTTGGATTCACACACAGGCACCAGCTCATTAGGTCTGTCAAGTGCTAAACTTTTTTCTGCTAGTAACCAGATAAGAAGTCCCAGTGTGAGTTCTGGGTACACATTTTTTTGGGGAAAAAGGATTAGACCAACATCTTTAACAATTTTGCTGTTTAAAAACAAAATGATATTGCAGCCCAATTGTAAACCCCAACACAATGTGTCAACTGCCATTTTATGAGTGAGTGCAAAAAAAAAATATTGACTGCAGGTCAAGAACAGTTAGTCACTCGTAATAAAACTTTGGTCTAAGTGCTAAACTAAAACTTTGAATTCTAATAATAAAACACACTTGTGAATTATGGGATCTGATATGTGAGTCATTGTAAATTTAAGGCTCTCAGACAAGCATTGTATGAGACAAGCATTGTATGAACAAGAAATGTTCACATACAATTCAACATTTCTCCTTCAGATATGTGAAGATTTCAAGGAAAATTCCAGTGGCAGCATTCAATATGGGCTTCAGTTATCACAGAAGGAGCATTCAGCTGTTGTTCGTCATTTTGGACTTCAAGTGGTTGAGCATTGCATCAAGTATGTATTATACATTTTTGTTATTACACCCCCCCCCCCCCCCCCCCATAAAATTTTATGTGCCATTTACATCATGTTTTATGCAGAATAATTGTACTTTACACTTTTAGTATATTTTATTTTTTGGTATATTCTAATGCAGAGCTTTGCAGTTGATTTATACGAGGAAGAAGTACTATAGAATCTATAGTTTTGATTTTGAGATATTTGTCTAGAAAGTGGTACCTTTGTCCTTCTTAACCCTGTGGCATCTAATGTTCAGTCAGCATTTATCCACAGTTCATGAAAAAAGAAACAAAGGACCCATTTCTGTACCTTGATGTGAGAGTGTATTGAGCACATATTTTTGTGTGGACTAATAGGCACTCAATGATATGATTAGTATTGTATTAGTTGTGTTTACTTCCCAAGATCAAGGTCAGCATGAGCATACACAGCATGAACAATGGGGACAGTGATCAAAGAGGATAGTGGCGCTTACCAGAAAACAGTGTCAAGCTTGACTATAGTGATAACGGCTGCTTTCAGGGCACTAGCACGGGCAGCAGAATATGCAGTAAATATATCAGACTGGAGGGACATGCTTCTGAAAATTACAACAGGTAGTATTGCTCTGAATGGGTAGAAAGCATTTGAAAATTGCACTTAACCTCCCTAATCTGGCTCTGCACACCTGGTCTTCTCTTCTTCTTGTTCAGCATTCTGAGTCCTTGAGTTGCAGATATCACCCGCCTCCATTTATCTCTCTGGTTGGCCTTCTCTTCCCAGTTGGTGACACCAAGTGTTTGCAGGTCTGTCTGGACATTATCTCTCCATCTTCTTGGTTTGCTTCATGGTCTACGACCATTCATCTACTCGTGTATACAGTTTTTACTTCTCTGTCATCCGACATTCCTTCAACAAGCCCCAACCATTTCAGTCTATTAGCTCTCATAATGCCAGTGATCAGTGGTGATTTAAACAGATTATGAATTTCATTGTTGCTTCTCACTCTCCATTCTCCGCTGTTTGCATCTTTGATGGGTCCAAAGATTCATTGTAAGACTCTTTTTCGAAAACCTGTGGTAAGGCTTCATCTCTTTTAGTTGTGCTCCAAGTTTCAGAGCCATATATAATGACTGGTCTTATCAATGTTAATTAGCGAGTGGAGCAACTGGCAGACAGTGCACCAGTGCATGTGGGAAGAAGCATGGACATAGCAAACATCGGCAAGGCTGTGTGGACTGGGCTAGTGGCGCCCAATGTCTCTTCAAAACCTGATGCTAAAAGGCAGAACAGGATTAGAGAAGCAGCAGTGTTCAGTTTTTTAAAGCGTTTTGTCATTTCAGATATCGATGGCATGAATTTGGAGATGAGGAGAAAAGTGAACTGAAAATTAATGCCCTTAAACTTGTTGACCAGGTGAGTGACATTAAAAGTAAAGTATGCTTTTTTTTTTCAAATTACATCCCTTCTCCAAGGTAATATATGATATACTGAAAGCTTTATATGTGTGGCAAGCTTTGGGCGTTTGATACAATAGCAAGTTTTAGATGTATAAAACAATAGTAAACTTTGGATGTGTGATATAATAGCAAACTGTGGATGTATGATACAATCGTAAACTTTTGATGTATGATAGAATAGCAGACTTTTAATGTATGATACAATAGCAGACTTTTTATATATGATACAATAGCAAACTTTGTATGAATGGTACCATAGCAAAATTTGGATGTATGATACAATAGCAAGCTTTTGGTGTAAGATACAATAGCAAGCTTTTGGTGTATGATACAATAGCAGACTTTTTATATATGATACAATAGCAGACTTTTAATGTATGATACAATAGCAGACTTTTTATATATGATACAATAGCAAACTTTGTATGAATGGTACCATGGCAAAATTTGGATGTATGATACAATAGCAAGCTTTTTATGTATGATACAATAGCAAGGTTTGAGTGTATGATACCATAGCAAACTTTGGGTGTATTATACAATGGAAAACTTTGGATGTATGATGCAATAGCACACTTTAGATATATGATACCATAGCAGACTTTGGATGGATGATACAATATCAAACTTTGGATGGATGATACAAAAGCAAACTTCTGATAGATGATACAATAGTAAACTTTGGATGGATGATACAAAAGCAAACTTTAGATGAATGATACAATAACAAAATTTGAATGGATGATACAGTAGCAAACTTTTGATAGATGATACAATAGCAAACTTTTGATGGATGAAACAGTAGTAAACTTTAGATGAGTGATGCAATAGCAAAATTTAGATGGATGATACAATAGTAAACTTAAGATGGGTGATACAATAACAAACTTTTTATGTATGATACAGTAGCACATTTTGAATGGATAACTGTAGCGGTTTGTAGATGTCTGGGAAGGAAATGTGTTAAGGAAGAGAATTGGCCAACACAACTCCTTATGTCATACTCTGGAGTAGTCTAGAAAAAAAAATATTTTATTTGTACTGAATTAAATGCGTCAGCTGATAAAACAGTATTCTCTAGTGGATATCAGGACACTGCAACATTACGGAAAATGAAAGAGCAGACTATTTAGCAAAAACTGGAACCAATACAGGACAGCCAAATGCAGAATGAACATGAGAAAAATATATATGTGATCAAGGTCGCCGTTAGAACACTTTTCATCCAGAGAGGGGGTATAAACTTTGATGTCAAGAGTGCATCTGCCTCTGAGAGGAGAAACCAACAGTCAACCTAGAAATAAGCCAGATCTGTTAAACAGGTATGCACACAAAACCCAAGTTCTGGAACAAGAGTAAAGTCTAGAAGTGGATAAACAACCAGAACTTTCTGCTGGAGTTTACAGCCTGGGAACATGAAAAAGATGAAGTAACATTTGCTAGAAGCTGGATGTGTTAAATGGTTATATATAATTGATGCTTGCAGGGTACAAAAGATATTTTGGAAGAGGAGCAGCATATCAAAGATGGTGTCTCCAGAATTCTTGTTGAGCTCATGAAGAGGGAGTGGCCACAGCTTTGGAAAAATCTCTTCATTGACTTCAATGCTTTGTGTCAGAATGGAGTGAGTGTTCTTTCTTGTTGTTGAAATTACCAGAACTGACAACTTTGAAATAGATCATTTTAGTTCCTACATAATCTCCCTATGTGGGTTCTGGGGCCCATTATGGAGGGGGAAAAAAGAAAAGACCCACTGCCTCCCTAACAAGAATGTTGTAAACGTTGACTAATTGAGGGTTTCCCTCAAAGTTTCAGTGCATCTGCCTAAGAGGCAAGGAACTAACATTCTGTATACAGATATGTAAAACGGGTGTGCATGCAAAACTCTAGTTCTGGAACCAGACATTAAGTCCAGAGGTGGGGGAAGGTAGATGCACTGCCCTCCAACAAGCATTTCATAAAAGGCAACTAATTAGAGATTTTCTAAAATTAAATGTTTTGGGCTAGGTACAGGGGCAAAGTTTGCAGTCCGACAATACGTCGTGACAATGAAACCCAGGCCTTACAAACTTGAGGGGATCAGTCTCATTTGGACATGTATGCAGAATGAGGGAGAATTGGCCACCACTGCAAGCATGAAAGGCCAGGGAACCAGAATGACCCAGGGTTCACTGGGAAGACAACATCCAACAGTTCCTGACTGACAGAGGACTCAGATAGAAGAAAGCCGGAAAGATAACTTCTGATAGAGAAGTCTGGTGATCTCTCTGGCAAACCTCTACACCCCAAGGTAGAAGGGGAACGACTTAGTAAGTAAGGGCTAGGTACAGATTGTTCGCAGTCTAGCTGTAAACCATAACACAACCTGCCAACCGCTTCTTATTTGCCTCTCTAGCCTAGTTATTTTTGCTGAAAATAAAATGAATATTGACTGACTGATGTTCAACTTCACCAGGACCGCACAATGAGCGATAAACACCTGGTGACACAAAGTGCCACCATTTGGATGAGAATCACCTGGGTGCAAGTCCCAGAAATCCTGTTCAGTCGGTTATATTAGGGCCCCTGGCGACAGGGGTAGGGCTCTAAATAAAAATTGCATCCCAAATTGGGGTGAGATTAGTAAGTAAATTAATATTTAACTTAATGCTAGTATTTAACAGGCATTACCATGGCATAGTGGTTAGTGGGATAGCCTAGCAGTAAAGTGGTCTTTATGGAATCCCCATCAGAGGCAACCCAATATAAAAAGATTAATTCCTGTAAATGGAAAGATGATTACGAAGAGAATTGCCCACCCCACCTCATATGTCATAGGTTAGATATGCAAAAGTTTAACAGTTTACAGCCAAGTTTCAGTAACTGCTCTCATTTTTTACTATTAGTATAACATGTTTGGAAACTGCACTTGTGTGATAGCTATATGCTCTGCCTGCCTACCTGAAGGTAGGGTTCAAATCTACCTTGGTTCCCAGGTCGGCCCAGCCTTAAGCGGGTACCAGGTAAAGTCATATGAAGTAAAGGAGGCCGGCTAGATGTTGATGACATTACCCATCAAAGGCTGATTGGTCTGTTAAAAATATGAGTTTAGTATCATATGCATTACTTTTACTATACGTAGAACAGGTTCACACTAGTTTACAGTCGACCACACAGAAGATGGACCGCAGAAATATCAAAGACACTGAAAAGTACCATATACGAACTATAGGACCAGTTGCAGAGATCTTTTCCTGCCCTGGGAGGTATTCCAGTAGAGAAAAGAAGAAGAAGATACTAGTTGAAAACTCATTGTGTGACAACTCACTCTACATCGTCTGTGGCTTGAGGTTTGGGAATGATGTTTGTAATTTTGAGATACCCAGTTCGATTCTAGCTACAGGCGATTCAGCAGCAGATCTTTATGCACTATTTTCAACAGTGGTTTTTACAGCAGTGGCAAACTGCTGGACGTAAAACCATGAACACTCAGCAGAAGCTAGGATTGGTTTACAACATTGTCTGAAGCAACGTCTTTCAACCTGAGGGCCACCACATTTGTTTATCTTATCTTTTAATGGGGTAGTATGGGTAGTTGCCCAATGGACCTTGTGACCTACATGGCAAATAATGTTTTGATATGTATAATATATGTATACATGTGTGTGTATGTGTGAGACCATGAGTGAAACTTTGATTAAATGCTATAGAGAGTGGTCTTTGTTTTCTACCATCTGTGCACTTTGTAATGCTTTCCAGGAAACACAGACTGAGCTGGTTCTGCAGACGTTACTGAGGCTGTCTGAAGATGTGGTCAAGTTTCAGAATATGCCACAAGCCAGGCGTCGAGACCTGTTACAGGCCCTGACTGCTACTATGCCGTCCATATTTTCATTTTTTATCTACTTACTCACCAAGAATCTTGAGGTTTATCGATTACAGGTAAGAATTTAATCAAATACATCAATTATTATTACATCTCTGGTATGGAGGGCCACAAGAAAAACTGAAAATCAATATTGGAAGTATGTTAGGTAATTTAGTGGCTTTATCATCAATTTTTATATGATTGTTTTGATCTTCTTCATGTTCACCAGCTGTAAACTTCTGAGGAAAGTTCTGGTTGTTGGTCCGTTTCAGTTTGTTCCCATTATGGGGAAACTGTTTTGTTGAGGTTTCAGGATGTAATTTGAGGAAAATGGCTAGACTAAGTACTGTTTTGTACCATGAGAGTGCCTAATCAAATACAGTTCAATTAACCTGAAAGAAAATTAAACCAGTGCAACACATTCTTCAGCATCCTTACTCAGGTAATCGAAGTTTCAACTTCATAGCAAATGGGTCACCCGATAGTTGCTCTGTGTCAATGAAAGCCACACAGAATGTCCACCACTAACCGGGTCTCATGTGGGAATAATTGACACAGACTGCAATCTCACTATATTTAGTTACACATACAGGTATTAAATGTATAGAGTGGCCATCAGAAGTGCTAATACAAGCAGTCCAACACTAGAAATGCAGTTCATCATTGATGAAGGCAGCACTTACAAACAGATCAGTAGTTGAATACTTGGTTAATCACATAAGGCACCACCATCTCTGTGACAACAGCCTTTTAACCATTTTCGGAACTTACAGTTAACAGCACAGTCTATGTCGAAAAACATTCCAGTCGAAACCCACAGCTCACAGTGTCAAACCCTGCACTCCTCAATAGCTGGGTGATTGAACTATATCCTTTTAGTCTAAATATGGAGGAAATTGCAATGGCCAACAGTGCCATGGCTTAGTCCTAGGTCGTTTTATGCTTATTGTGATGTCGTTGATGAGGTGATCAGAGTGCCTATGGATCTGTCTGGAGTGCTGTTATGATGGTTCCTACTAATCACCTTTTGGCTGAAAGCCTATCCTGGTGGGAAACATTTCACTGATGTAGAGAAGTGTGAATATGGCTGAGTCAACAGAGCATATTCTCAAGGTTTTCTCTTATTTTGTGTTGCCTTTAAAGGGCAGTTAGCACAGTGTTTCGTGGTTTACAGCTAGGTTACAATATCTGTCTTTCATCCCAACTCATCTGATTTCAGCAAATGCCTAATTGGTCAGCAATTACATTTTTGTTAAGCGGCAGTGGGTCTGTACTTTTCCTCCCAAGATAGGACCCTAGAATGCACCTATGGGTCTGTAATTTTCAGATCAGTGATTCAGTAATGTAAAGGACTTTCCACTCCTCGGGCATATAGGGCTAGACCGGTATTTTTATCGACAAATTGGCACTAGACGGATAGTGTGGTCAGCATCACTCCAGTTGCCTTTATTTCACAAGGATGATTCAGTAATGGGTACATGTATTACTGTTATCTGAGTTGTTGTCAACAGATAAAGGTTATATTAAGTGCATTTATAAGTGGCATTTAAGTTTATCTCATGTTTCATGTCCCGTTTATATTTTTATAGTTGGATTGCTATCATCACTTACGGTAGTTTAATATTTATTATGAAGGACCATTTTTATGCCATTGGCTCGTTGGGCATAAAAAGCCAGGCATACTCTTAGAGACCAGCAGCACTCAGTAGGTGATACTGACGTTAATATCCTTGACCAGCATTTAAAGAAATGTGCATATATGTTAATTCTGTGATAGAGCACCTCTTTTTTATATGTGTCCACAGGATGGGAAAAAATCTGAGAAGGCGTGCAAGATTTGCCAGTCTGCCCTGGATACGTTGTCAGGTTTTGTGGACTGGGTCAACATTTCACACATCATTGAGAGCAACCTGTTGTCACTGTTGTGTGGACTTCTTCTGGACAAACATTTGTGTCTGAGAGCATCAGAATGTCTCTTGCTCATTGTCGGCAGGAAGGTTTGTATTCCTCTCATTTGTTTTAATGTATGTGTGTGTGCATGGTTTTAGTCCTCTTTCACACACACTTGTGATAGAAAAAGGTAAATGAAATCCCCAGTAGCGGCAGGATTATTTTTCTTTTGTATAGACAAGTACAGTTTTGAGTGTTACTTGACCTCATAAAGATATGTACCTGCTAAGTTTAGAACTTTTTAGGAATTATGGGAGAACACAAATAGGTGATAAGGACAAAAACAAACAAAATTGATTTTGATTTTTAAAAAGGACTATTGTGTTATCAGATTTAGTTAGGTGAACTGTCTGAAAGAGTGAGATTTAATTCTGATATTTTTGTGTGTCTGAGTTTTCTCCTACAGGATGGTAGTCTAAGATTAATAATTCAAGGATGATAATCAAATGTGTACAGATCCAAGAAGCCCTGTCCAACCGTATATCTGTATAAAAAAAAAGGACCCTTTTCCACACCTTCATGAGTAATGGGTATATAAGGCTTGACCTATATTTTATAGAACAAACGGCACTTGGTAGGTGATGTGGTCCCATCATGCTGGCCGCCTTTACTTTCCAGGACTGTACCTAGTACCCACTCTAGGCCACGTTGATCTGGGAGCCAAGGTCATTTTTGTAAAAAGTCCGGCACCCATCAGGACCTAAACCCAGGACCTTTCCATCCTCAGGGGAGCATCTAGCTGCTAGATGTATATCCATATAGCCCAGTTGGCTATCCTTCGAATAACGGTTGGTAAAGATGGCGGCTGAAAAATATCCTTTCGAGCCACAGTCACGTGACCTAATTTGTGGTTCTCCTGCAGTTGTCCGGCGACTACCGCCACGAGTCCCCCACGGCGCTCATGTGGCGTGAATTGGGGCTAGACTCACGAGCAAAGCTTCAGTAGATGCGGAAGCTGCTGCTCGTTAGTCCTAGCCATCTAGTTTAGCCCCAATCCACGCTGCATGAGCGATGTGGGGGACTTATGGCAATGGTGGTAGTCGCCAGAAAACCGCTGGAGAACCGCAAATTAAGTCGCCGGAAGTGCGCAATTGACACGCGACTGTGGCTCGAAAGGATATTTTGCGGCCGCCATCTTTACCGACCGTTATTCGGAGGTTTGGCGCCCAGTTATATTAGGGCATCACAACATGGTTATTAAGTAACCCGTTGTCCAGTGTCTGGTTCAAATACAATAGAGCGTATGTCTCAAGATCATTCTCATGGCATTCGGACAACTGTTATGAGAGTCACACTGTGGAAGAGATTTAGCCATACCATGTAATATTCAAAGAGACCGCTGTGGATGTGCATATCCACTGCAGCCAGGTTTTGTTGTGGATATTGCACAAAATTGATTGCTTATATCTTAGGCCATTTGAAAATGGTTTGCTTCTTTTAGGGTGAGTTCAGTGTATTTTCACATATCCCATCTCATATAACCTAGCATACTGTCTCTGAAATATGTAGAACACACACACACACACACATATATATATATATATTAAAAAAAAAAAAAAAAAGGAAAATCAACATTCTGCCAAATGCCAAAAACTGCTAATTATTGCCCGCATTTACCAATTCTTCTATTTTGGGCTCCATTTCTAGTACTGTCACAACGGACTGTGCAGGTTAAGATTTATTTTTTTCCCTCGACGGAAAAAAAACCCTCAACCTTAAAGTTAAAAGTTGAAGGATTTTCTTATTTAGATGCAGTGATTTCCAGCATTATGGGGCCCGGACAAAGCAGTTACACCTGGCCATGACTAAACAACCGTTAACAGAAAGGCATGCTAAATTCTGATCTGTGCATGGACGCAATCAACAATACAATAATTGATACATAATGTTGAAATACTAAAAGAACGATTATTTTTTCTTTGCGTTTGCCGGCTGTAAACTCCAGCAAAAAATTCTGGTTGTTCATGCACCTCTGGACTTTAGCATTGTTCCAAAACCTCAGTGTTGTGTGCACATCTATTTTACAGAACTAACTTATTGTATTTGTAGCTAACTCTTGGTTCCTTGACTGCAAGACAATTTATAATCCTTGCCGAGAATTCGGAACCTGGGTCTCCCACATGGGAGCCTTCTGTTCCTAAATGTTTGGCCAGGCGCTAAAGATTAACATACAAATGTTTAAATGTTAGAAAGTTGAATATGATAGTGTGGTTTAATGTTACCTAATGTGAACACTGTATTTATCAAACAGAGCAAACTGTCAGAACGCAAGCCATTAATGGTTTTGTTCAGTGAGGAGGCAATGACTGTTCTGTTACAAGCTGCTCAGTAAGCGTTTTAGCATTCTGCATATATTGTGTGATAAAATATTTGGAACTGTCACCATCATCATTATTAGCATCATCACCATCAAGTTATTCTTCTTAGCATTCACCGGCTGCAGATTACGGCAGAAAGTTCTGGTTGTTCATCCACTTCTAAACTTTGAAGATAATTTTTAAAGTTATATTTTACGACCACATCATTCCACTCTCTCCCTTTTCATAATTACTCTTCAGCAAGTAGGAAAATTGCCATCATGAATGAGAGTATACTGTGTTTTTGATGAATAGGTCATTGGAGACTGTGTTAGTTGCTAAGGTTCTACCATCCTGAATTTAAATATCCTTTCTCCAAAAAACAACAGTTAAATTTTAGTTTGCAGATTTATTCATTCTGTCATTTTTGGAATTGCTTGCATCTTGATTGTATATCAGAAGCATGTCACAGTCCACAGATCCAAAACATAATTTTTTTAAAGCATATTTTCTAATTTTACATTTAACTGATTTTTATGAAACAAATTTTGCACTTTAGAATATTACATTTAATGTCCTTCATTATAAAGATTTGTAAAAGTCTAATTATAATTACTGTCATAAAAAAAAAAGTATAAACCATTTCAGTGTGTATTCATTATTATCTGATGTGTTACAAATGTTTCTGTTTATCTAAAACAATTTTAGAAATGCTACTGAACACATCACAGAATCTTCCAACTTCATATTTCTGAAAAGACTGGGTGAGATTTTGCTGGAAATTGGCAAACAACTGTGTACCTTGTGGGTGAGTTATTCTGTTTGGTGTATGTCATTAGGTTCTTTGCAGAATGTTGATCCCATGATGGCTCAGTGGAAAAAGACTTTTAGTCCCTCACCAAAAATTGCTTGCCTCATTTATTTTCATGCCTAAGGGCCCTGTTTTCACCTCACTGTGCTGATGGACCCGTGTCTTCTCTTCCAGGAAACAGTCATTCATGTGCTTCCTAAAGGACTCTGATGTTTAACATAGCCAGTGCATTTAATAAGTTTCTGAGATAACATTTGGTTTATGAGCCATTTCTCTTCAGTGACACATCATAAAAACATTTTTTAAAATTAACAGAGAATCACCAAACAGGCACTAAAATGGGAAAATAAGGGATGGAGTGAGTAATGATATCCAGAAGATAACCTAGAATGAACATTGATGAGAGGGGCCTGCGGTGCTGGACTGGAATTCCATCCATAGTGTTGAATTGATTTTTAAAACAAAAACTCTTGTCTATCCGGCTTGTGTTCTCAGCATTCTGCTTTATTGCAGTGAAAGTTGGTCATCTTATTTGCAAGAGAAAAAACGGCTAAATAGCTCTTGCGATGAGTACTTGGTATTAAGTGGCAGGACAAGATCACAAATACGGAGGTATTGAAAAGAGCAGGTGTTACAAGTTTTTTCAGTGATCAGTCTATGAAGCTCAGGTGGCTGAGTCACACCTGGAGAACGGAGGAAGAAAGAGTCCCTAAGGACATGGTGAGTTAAAGATGCATAGAAGATGTCAAGGCCGACCTCTACTACAATATAAAGATGTGTGCAAGTGGGACATGAATCATACATGTATTGAGGTGAACTTGTTTGAACAAAATGCCATGGACTGTGTTGTTTGGAGAGGGCACATCAGGGAGGGAATGAGAATTAATTTAAGAAATGATTGCAAAAAGGATGAGAGCTGAGCGTTTGAGAAGACACAGACTAAACACAAATGTTGACAACAACGGTCCTGAAATCCCATGCTATAATTGTAGAGGACTTTTCCTAACGCGGGCGACTCTTGCTAGTCACACTCACCATCACCGTAGGCTGTGAGAGACTTATGCCTCCTTATAGCACAATATAACACTGTCGTCTGGAAAGACGGAAAGGTACCAATGAATTGAATTGATTGCACAAGATAGAACAGTATGGAGGAATAGACTGTGAGCCCTAGGTGACATATGATGGCACAAAAGGACAGTAATAATGTCTTTAATGACAAGTCCTACAGAATGTCATATGTTCTTTAACATTTAAGTTTAAAAAAAGCCCTAGTACTGTATGTCAACACGGTGAGCTGCTGCCAAATCACCTACAGCTTGAAATAAACCGGGTATCTTGGAATTATGAAACACAATCACAATGCTTAAACCACAGACACAGGCAGGTTCTGTCCTAGAATATCTGAATGCATTACACTCAACATCCTGACAGTAGTGTCTACTATGAGTTATGAGATTGCTTATACATTGTGTAATAATAATGGTTATTAATAAATCTTGAGGCATGATTTGTACAAATGCTTCATAGACTATACAAAAGCATTTGACTGTGTGAAGCATGAAGAAGTAATCAAACTGTTAGAAAAATTAAACATTGATGGGAAAGATCTACGAATAATAAAGAACATGTATTGGCAGCAAACAGCAGCTATAAGAATTAACAACTGTTTAGGTACATTTCAAAGCATAAAGAGGGGCGTACGACAAGGATGTGGACTGTCACCTGATTTGTTTTCAATATACAGTGAATATATAATGAGAGCTTTAATTGGTATGCCCGGAATTGTGGTTGGTGGGCACAATATAAACAATTTACGTTATGCTGATGACACAGTGTTGATAGCAACAAGTCAAAAAGAACTACAGGAAATGATAGACATTGTGGTGTTAGAAAGTGGAAGAATGGGCCTCAGTTTGAATAATGGGAAGACAGAAGTAATGGTGGTATCAAAGAAACAAATTATTCCTAAGTGTGTAATAAAAGTTGATGGTGTTATTTTAGGACAAGTACAGAAATTTAAGTGTCTGGGCACATGGATAACATCAGATGGAAGATGCATAACTAAGATAAGAAATAGAATAGGACAGGCAAAAACTGCATTTTATAAAATGAAAAACATCTTGTGCAATATATCCTTGTCATTGGGAGTTAGAAAAAGAATTCTTGCTTGCTACATACATCCAGTTTTAACATATGGCTGTGAATCCTGGACAATCGGTAGGCAGGCCAAACAATTTCTGGAGGCCGCAGAGATGTAGTTTTACAGAAGAATGCTTAGAATGCCTTGGACAGCCAAAAAGAGCAATCAAGAGGTTTTGAAAGAGGCGGGAGCCCGAAGACAACTTATCACAGACATCAGAAGGAGACAGTCATTATTTTTCGGGCCATGTTATGAGAAGAGGAAAAATGGAACATGTTGTGACCACTGGAAAGATATGTGGAAGGAGAGATAGAGGAAGACAATGAAAGAAGATGCTTGGCAGTCTTGTTGTATGGCATGGAGGTGTGTCGGCACACGAACTGATACATGCTGTAGGAGATCGCAGATTATGGAGAGGCATGATCGCCCACGCCAGTCGGCAAGGCACCTGATGAAGATGATTAATAAATCAGTTTTATTCTTCTCCTTTTTCTACTTCGCATTCGACTGTGAATTCCGGCAGAAAGTCCTGGTTGTTTATCCATTTGGACTTTGGCTCTGTACCAGGTCCTGAGTTTTGCGTGTACTTTATTGGCTCAAAGTCAGTTTTGATTAGAGATAAATGATCTCAGTCATTAAAATCAATGTCTTACTGTGTGAAGTGCTTCAGGTGTTTTTCTTTTACTAACAGGGCTCTGCAGAAGACACTGGGCAGCCACCAAATTTTGAGATGTATCTCAAAGCCTTGCTTGCTTTCACCCAGCATCCTTGTCAGGTAGGTTGTAGTACATCACTATGTTGAATTAAGAATTGACGTCACAGCACTTGGGAATTCCAATAAGCTCTTTGCCCCCTCTTCAGCAGCAAGTTCAGCGTTCCAGTTCCAATGACACAAGTAATTAATAAATAACTGGGCTCTCCTGTCAAATTCGGACGAAGAATAAACAGCCGTGGACGAGTTAGTCAGAGTTCTCTCCCTTGGCCGCACTCCGAACAGTAATCGGAAAACAAACGAAATAAACGACACACTTACCTATCATCCTGCGGTTGCATGTAGGGCTGCGTACGGTTTCGTGAGGCATTGTGAATGGTTGTGTAGTCATCATCATGCGGTTGTTGGGTTAGAGTTAGGGTTAGGGGTAGGGTTAGGGTTAGGGTTAGATGTTAAAATTTTGACGTAGGGTTTGGAAATAGTGGCCGACAATCTGATGTTTGTGGGCGTGGCGCCACTGGAATTCTGCTAAATATGACGCCAATAGTGTGCGGCTGGTGCCCAATCGTTGGCGAATGGTGCGTTTCACCAGCATCCAGAGGCCCTCAATTGTTTGTGTGTGTATGTGACTGTGTACGGCGTCGACGAAGTTGGTCTGGTGGACTACTACCTCGTGCAGATAGATGCCATGCCGTAAGTTTGCCACGTTGCTGTAGCCTCGCCAAGCGTCAGTCACGATAGTCGTTCCCGGCAGGACGTGATCTGTTATGATCCTCTCCAATGTCGCCGCATCTCGTTTTCGCACAAGCTCCAAGTAACAACGGCCAGTCTGACGCTCTACTAGCCCTACGACCCAACGACCTTGAGTGGTGCGACCACGCTGAAGAAGTAGCTCTAGTCTACTTCAACTACGATAGATCTGCCGGCCTCATCGAGTCCTCCCAGCTCCACGGTATGTCTCAACAGCCAATTATAGCATTCTTTCCGGAAATAATTGCGTCGGAATAACGATGTTAGTTATGTGAGTGCGTCTAACTGCCATGTTGCTTGTGTCGTTTGTTTCGTTGTGGCTTTTCCGATCACTGTTCGCAGTGCGCCCAAGGGAGAGAACTCTGACTAAGTCGTCCAAGGCTTTTTATTCTTCGTCCGGATTTGACAGGAGTACCAATAACTGTATGCAAGGATTGGACTGGGAGGACAGAATGTTACGGGTATAATTGCCCAGTTCTCAACCCTTTGAAAATAAAGTCTGTTCATTCATTCTGTCTTGCCTTTCTCTCTTGAGAGTTAAAATGTCGGCAGCCAGATCTGATAGTCATCACTATACATAGTGTAGCAGTATATCACCATGGAGAATGTCCATGAGTTTGGGGTGTGTGGTGGCTTAATGGTTACTGCCCCCCTCCCCCTCCCTTTTTAAAAAAAAACAAAGACAATCCATTAACAAAAAAAAAACAAAAAAAAAAACGTACACAAAATTTAAAATTGGCTAATAAGCCATGTGCACATTTGGGTTGGCACGTGAGACAACAGATCACATCCTCCAAGACTGTCCCAAATACAACATATCAAGTCAAAACTTTTGGCCCAGAGACAAAATTGCAGATATAAATAATCTATTTCACGCGTACGAAAGAAGAAGAAGAAAACAGAATTAAAAAAATACACTTCATTGATTTGTTTTTACAGTAGACTATTAAATTTTTGAACACTAAAATAGGTAATTAAAGTGTTTTTAAGTGGCTAAATGCACAAAGATGCCTTATCGAAAGCAACATGAAAAAGTTTGTTAGCCACAGTATGAGAATAGAAAATTAAGACCTGGGACAGCTGGAACAAAATTACAAGAAAGACAAAAAGGAAGATATTGAGAAAACAATTCTTGACATAATTTTTTGCTATTACATGTAAGCACACAAATTAATTGCTGTTTTAAATCACAAATATTAGGAGAGTATAATTGCCCCCACCAGTCAATAGAATAATAATATACAATTTCATAGAGTATAATAATACAAATAGTTTTGTTATTATGATATATTATTATGAATTTAAATATTGACACAAATATATTTTTATGTTCTAAACATATATTCTCCTATATGACATCTTTTTGTATACTTATAAATAAATTTTTTTTGTATAACTTACATATAACATGGATTTTATTCCAGAGCGTTCGTCAAATGATATATTCTGTGTGGCTAATTTTATTGCGCCATCCACTTGCATCAAAAGATTCCGTGTTTCAGGAAGTCTTGCCATCTTTGATTCGGTGTGGAACTATATGTCTGCACAAGGTAATCGAGCCCTAACCTTGAAAACGTTTTGACTGTTATTTATATTATGTAACAGTTTGATAGTTATTTAGTTGGCACAAGTAAATTTTCATGACACAGCATGAAAAGTATACATCTTTGCTTGTCTTTTAAGTTTGACTTAAACACAGTCTGTTAATTTAATTTGAAATCCCTATTTTACCAGAGTTTATTTAGATTTCTGAACAACTTTTGGGAGCTTCACTTATTTCAGCTTCTTTCTTTTCATGCTTTAAACTTTAATAGTTTACTGTTTATTTAACTCTATACGAGTCAGGGTTACGAATACCAGCATAAGAGAGAAAGTTGGAATAAGACCAAGTCTGGATTATATTGACAGACAAAGAATGAAATGGTTCAGTCACCTAGTGAGAATGCAGCCCGACCAGGCTGCATATGAGACTTTTTACAGTAGAACATCTGGAAGAAAAGTGAGAGGAAGACCAAGTAAAATATGTATAAATGGTGTAGATAAAACCTGCAAAAATTTGAACACATCCATCACTTAAGCCACCCGAGAAGTGCAAGACAAATACAGAAAACAACGACACTGGGCTACAACCTGCTAACAGTGAGACAAAAAACAAGATGCTGTTCAATTTGTTTCAAGATACCATTTTCCCAAGTATTAGACAATCCCATGCATACAACACACATGGATTTTGGGACCGGAAATAAAAAAAAAAAATTTATAACACTACTTAATCTGCTACCATGGTATAAAGCACATACTGTTTGTTGAGTTTTGTTGTTGTAGTTCAAAATAAGTGTGTCTTGTACTTAGGGAAATAATGTCTGTCTTGAACATCCATTGATAACAACATTTAAAATCAAGATGGTGAAATATAAGGCATGTCTATGAAGTTGACAGAGAATCACAAGATAGGTACTGAAATGAGAAACAGATAGATTGAAGAAATGAGGATGTCCAAGAGAAATCCTATAATGAAGGTGGATGAGAAAGGTCAAATGTACCAGACTGGATTCCATCCAGGATATTGAAAAGACTGCAGAGGAAAGATGGGAATGATGGAATCGACTGCAAGCCTTATGACATAAAAAAAAAAAAAAAAAGACCATGATGATGATGATTTGCTTGCACGTGCATGTCATCTTCTTATTCCTTCAACTCATTTACTTTGTAGAAGAATTTGTTGGGAGAGGTGGGAGTAAGAATCTTCTGTGTGCTCTTTCCAGCGCCTTGTCTAAGTTGGTCTTCATTTCCTTAAGGCTGTTCTTGATACCATCGTTTCATGTTCTGCGCTGTCTTCCTCTTGCTTTGTGCTTATTATGTTTCTTCAGCATGGGTTTCTGTGCCAGTTGGTATCAGAGCATTCTCGTTAGATGACCAGACTATCTCATTAATGACTTTTTAATAAACTCTGTGTGTGATATGTAAAGAATGTCTAAATAAATAAAAATAAAAAAATTACAATATTAAAAAAAAAAAAAAAAATCAGTATCACAATAAATATTTCTGTTGTTTAAATAAATGTAATTGTTCCCATGAACATATTTGTAGGTTGGGTTTCCAAGCCAAACCAACAGTGTCAGTTGTGATTACTCCAGAGTGGAGTTTGATACTGATGAAGAATTTAACGTAGTGCTATCAAGTAAGTGTCTATTGTCCTATAGTTATGTAACATTAAAATTAAATTTGCCTTTTCCGTTAATCACATTTTTTGCCCTTGACTTCATATACTAGAATTTCCGGTATAAATGTAAACTACTACTCTGTTCAATTTATATTTTAACTGATGGATGAAATTCAGAGCTCTTAGACTTAAATGCTACAGAAAGGTCCTTAGTATATCCTTGACTAAGAAGAAAAAAGGTGTTGACATCCGGCATGACCTGAACATCGAGGAGAACTGGCTCATAAATAGCATCCTGTGCCAAAGCTGGGGTATTTTGTACACGTCAAGCGCCGTGGTGGTCTGGAGAGAATAGTGATGGAGGGTGCAGTTTCCAGAAAAGAAAGTAGAACCCAACCTCCATGAAAGTGGATACAAGACATTGAAGATGCACTGGCTGTGATGGCACACAGGGCTAGAGAAAGAGAGACTTTCGGGTGACGAGAGCCACGTTCTCCAAAGGACTTACTAATTGATGATGATGGTGATGATGGTTACCTGTAGGGAGGGGTTAAAAGGTTGAACAAAACGCTAACAAAACAACAAAAATAATATGCTACAGAAGTAAAGAATTGAGATGGAAAAAACCTTGTGGATCAAACTGATTGTTAAAAAGTAGTTAATAGGACTATCATCACTTATGGGTAGTGATTACGAATTTGTAAGCCTAAAAGAAAACATGATCACGTATCATTTTGTGTGTATATATACACTTGAAAAAATATTACTTAATTGTATAAATAGTAAATTACACTACACATTATTAAAAACAGTTTATATAGAGGATTTCATCAACATATGGGCAAACAAGTCTGAGAGAGTATATGACAAAAAAGAGAAAAAAAGATTGTTGCTAGTGCAGCCAGCCTAAATGATAGCAAAATCACCTTATTAATTATGTAGTTGTTGTTCGTCCATCACAATTGATGAAGACCACTTTTCATCCAGAGTAGTAATAGTAAATGATTATGAGTGCGAAGGTGGCTGATTACTCCAGTATGAGTTCGGAAAGTTCTTGAGCAGTACAGAAAACAGGTAGAAGCCGCAGTAAGTGTAGGGTTGGCAATACAGTTCTTTCTAGCCTGCCTCCGTTTCTCTGCCTGTGCAATCTCTGCTGCGTGGCAGGCTGATGCACCATGCCTGAAGGATGTACATCATCCAGAACGGTCCTGTGCAGCAGCCTCCCATGTCGATGTGTTGATGCCAGAAGAATTGAGAGTGTCTCTATGTGCTTTTTTTAGAAGTTTTATGTAGTAGTTTTAAATCTGCATACTGCTTTAGCTTGCGATAAGGGGCTTTGTACAGAAAGTGTTTTTTGTTGTTTCTTTGTCAGATCTCCGCATGTCAGTGGTGGAATCCATCCGAATCATGACTCTGATGGTGCCGAAGCTTACTTTCTCAGTGGCGTCCTCTTGGGTGTTGGAACTTCTCAATAAACCTATTGAAATCGGCAGTGGTGTGGGTAGGTAGACATGTTTGTTCTGTGGCAGTGGGTATGAATGTGAGGCCTGTTGCAGCAGATCCCTGTATGCGCCACATTTCCGAGGGGGATAGACCCCCCCCCCCCCTCTCCTACCCCCATCCCCCTAGTGATGTCGTAACAGGCAACTAATCAGGGATTTTTCCTTCAAGGTCAGGGTGTGCATCTTACAGAGAGGCGCATGAAACTAACAGTGCATACTAGTAACCCAGATTTGTAAAATGGAGGTGCACACAAACCTCACGTTCTGGAACAAGTTCAGAAATGGACAAACAACCAGAATTTTCCAGCAGAATTTACAGCTGGTGAATGCTAAAAAGAAGTTTATTTTTATTTGACGGATCAACATCATGGCACACGGATGAAGAATCTCAGTTCAGTGCATGCACTTTGTTGCACCATCAAGGATCAATACTTTTAAAAAACCTTTAGTCTAATGTTGTCAAGGACTCAGACATAGACTTGCATTAGACCAGATTTATTTTAATGTTGCATTATGGATGGTATTTGTATTTCGTGGTAATTGACATTACTTCTGTGTTTGCTGATTTTTTTATACTGTATAATTTGAAATTAAAATAGAAAAAAAAATGTCTTGCAGACATGGACAGGGGTATTTGCAATCTCAGTTCACCGTCATTTATCTACTGGGATGCCTGCAGTGTATTTCTGGAAGCTGTCATGTCAAAGTTATTCCAGGCTGAAGGGGAGAAACCAGATGTACAGGAAGGCATTGATCTGTTAAAACAAGTTCTGGCTTATGAGATGCAGGTTCGTCACGGCATAAATATTTGCTATTTTGTTCTGTGTAATATGTCTTTTGAAGAAAATGACAGGTTGGGGTCAGTTTTGAGTGTGACAGAACTGTATTTTGTGAAATGTGATCACCGGAAATATGAACCAGTTCAGTGTTTTTCTCTCACACCATCCTCATGGTTAAGCCATCCTGCCATTTATCACCTTGCTTTTCCCTGGTTCTGTTTCCATCCATTTTGCCAGCTGTTACTAAGCTCTTGTGTCCATTCCTTCTCATAACATATCTACTGTAGAGGTATACTGTTAAAAAATTAAGCTATAATGTTTCTTACTGTTTAGATATACCAGAAATTTGACCCCCCAAAATTCTAATGCCTCTGTGATCTTAGAAATTTGCCCCCGCCGCCCCCCCCCCCCCCCTATTTAAAATTTTTTTTTTCTCTGTGATCTTAGTAACAGTAAATACAAATACTATTTAAAAAACAACTAATACATAGAATTTATTAAGTTGTAAAGACAGTCAGCAATAATAATGAATAAATCGCTTATTAAATACTCATTAATCTGGCCTTAAAATATAGGCATGCTGCATGGCGGAAATTTTTTTGAACTTTTTATGTTGTTCTAGAGCTTTGTAATTGCAAGTTGATCCACAAGCAGTATTTATGTAATTAGCATGAAGGAGCTGGCATAGCACCTGCAAACGAGTTAGAGTAAAAAATGTGAGATCTGCATCTTTCCCTTGCCAACTATTGGATGTAAGTCATGGACTCTCACTCAGTCTTAAAGAAGAGCATCTGAGCTTTTGAACTGAAATGCTGCTCAGATTCTTAGAATACTATAGAACCAAGAAGAAGAAAAACATCTGAATATGAAGGAAAACTGGCTCCTAAACAGCATCCTCTCCTGAAAGCTGGGTATTTTGGACATGTCAAGCGCCATGGTGGTCTGGAGATAACGGTGGTGAAGGGTGCAGTTTTGGGAAAATAAGGCAGAGGCTGACCTCTACAAATGCTGATACAGGACATTGAAGATGCATGGGCTATGAAAGCACACAGGGCTGGGGAATTGGCTAGAGAAAGAGAGACTTTCAGGTGTCCCATGAAGTGAGCAGCGTACGGTAAAGGACAAGAGAGACTTTCAGGTGTGATGTGAAGAGACCAACATTCTGTAAAGGACATGCTGCAGGATTTATAAAATTCCAGATTCATGTTGTTTCTGTCAGGGGCGACTGGGCAAACAGTTAAGAAAGCTGAGCTCTTCTGCCGGAGATCCATCTTAGAATCCTCAGTGAGTTTTTCTGTCAGAGGGTAAAAATACAATCCTCGCCTGCACAGTCCATGGTGACTGCACTAACCATGTGGCTTTATATCCTCAGGCTCAAAAATCCTCCTGCCTTTATGCAGAACTGGTAAATAGGGACAGTAGTGAGGTTTGGGTGGCGGGAAGGGGTGTTGGTGTTGTTTCTGTGCTGCTTTGTATATAACCATAAACATATTGTTTATTTCTATACATCCAGGATCCGTTAATTCTGTCAGCAGTGCTGTCCTGTATATCAGGCCTGTTTCCATTCCTTAACTACACGCCACAGACTTTACCACAGGTTCTTGCCAAGGTATATACATTTTTGACTATATAAATATATGCAATATTTGAAGTAAATGTAGTTGCTTGGCTGGTCATTAGTGAACTTGCATGCGGAGATAGTGGTCTGAATGCAGCCCTCAGAAATTGCATTTTCCTCTCCAGTTTGGTTCCAAATAGGTCGATGGATGGACAGATAGACAAACAGATAGGTAGCCAGATGGATGGATGAATGGATGCACCCTTACACACAGACAAACACACTTCATAAAAATGGATTAAAGTTAATTACATATCCTTTACAGGATATTGCCGATCCAACAAAGCATTTATTTGCTGTTGTGGTGTTTCTAGGCAAATTTATGATCAGTAGTTTGCCATTGCTTCCTCAATGGTCGGCTCTTGGTACCGCTGTTGAAAACAACACAATACAGTGCTGCAAAATCGCCTGCAGCTGGGATCAAACCCTATACCCTGGCGTTACAAAGCAAAAAAGCATATGTGCAAAAAAATAGGTAACAGATAATTTCTAGAATGTTAGAGAATTGTCTGGGAAAGGGAAGGGGGTGAGTAAGTGAACTGGCCACCCCATCTCATGTGTCATGGCCTAAAACACGGCTATTCAACTAAGTTTACTCATGGACCAAAATGTTGGGGGATCTTCGCGGGCCTGAGCCCCAGCATAGAGATATCATTAATACCTATACAAATGTCTGCAGGCCAGATTTGGCTCGCGGGCTACCAGTTGAATAGCCCTGACCTAGAATGTGGGAAGGCCACATATTTCACACCCCTGACAACAGCGTCTGCTGTGGGCTACATTTATCTCTAACCATGGTTTCAAGGCAGGTATTACTGAAGAAGAGTGAAATGTTAAATCTTTACATATTCTGGGTTATTATATCTTGAAGTTGAGCAGTTCCCAATAGTGTTGCCTTTCCCCATCTCTGTTGCTCCAAGAAGACTAAATATAGTCACTACATGTTACCCGATCTTTTTTCAAAAATGACCTTGGCTTCCAGGTTGACCCAGACTTGAGTGGGTACCAGCTGAGGAGAATGGCACTGTGGGGAGTTACTAGGCAATCTGGCCAACGTTGAACACTCAAGGGAAGGGTTAGATTGATAAACAATCAGTTACTGGTACCATTGGTACATTGCTTGCTGTTAAAGATGGGGACAGAACACTTATGGGGGTGTCCCGAGAGTTGTGATATTGATTCGTAATTCAGCATTCATTCCATAAAATCGTTTACTTTAATTAGTATTAAGGACTTGAAATAGAAAACGGCATTTGCGTTATAATTTGTACTTTCATTTTATTATTAGAAAAGGTTTCTGAATGTTGCAAATGTGTTGTTGTCTTGCCGAAATTACTACATGTTAAATAGTTGTTTCAAGTATTAAACTGCACAATTTATGTTCTTGTTTTCAGATTTTTGATGCAGTAGTTTTTAACATGCCAGGTCAGACTAAATCCACACGCTCTCAGTCAGTGAAGAATGTTAGAGTACATGCATGTTCAGTACTCGTGAAAATATGCAAAAACTATCCTGCACTTTTATTGGTAAGTATTAAAAATACTTGCAGAAAGAATAACATATGGAAATTATTAACTCGAGTCGATAAGAATTTAGAGATCTGTTTCAGATAATGTATGAATGGATGTTGCTTTAGAGGATAAGAATATGGTACTTATCATTATTGAAGTGATTGTTTTCTTGCTTGTCAGGTCTGTTATGCTTTGTATTCTGTAGAGTATTTTTTGGCGATGTTAAGGCTGACTGTTAGGTCCTATGAGGATTCAGGGCTACATAGCTAGTGCAATCAGCATGGACTGTGCAGATTAGGATTTCAATTTTGCCGCTGCCAGAACAAAAAATCCATCATAGAGAATTTTAACCTGCATCTCCTTAATAAAAGTCCAGCGTTCTTAACCACTCAGCCAGACGGTATAGGTTTGAAATAAGTTATCTTGCCATATTTGTTTGAAAGATTTAACATAAATCTGGGATCTGTTCTCATTGGTTTGTCAACCAAAATGTGGCTTGCTTAGTCACTGTGATGGTAAGCAGATCCAGAACAAACAACAACTACATTGTGTTTGAGTTTTAAGTGGTAAACAACTAGTTGTGTGTCCAGAGGTCGCAGATGGTGAGCCACGTGGATATTTTGCCAGGCCATTCAGGCATATTTGAGAATGAGCAGGGAAATAGGGTGGGTGGACTGGCCCCAGTTGGGGGTACTGCAGGTAGACTAGGCAAAGGTGATCTTTCGCCTGTAGGGTGTAGTAACAAGTAAAATAAAAGATACTGAAAACCCGCACCTGGAGAGAATGTTGCAGCAGGAAGTGTCTGTCGGCTGTGGGTGCCACTCGAGACTCGGGGGGAGCAGGCAAGATGAATAGTTAACCAGATAGCAATGGGTACCATGTGTATGGAGACTCTTCACTGGCTGTTGAAGAGGGAGACGGAGGTAACAAGATATTGTCCTGAATGCTGTAGTATCGAATCTTTACCCAGGTGAACTATGACAGCTAGTTATATTTGCCTAACCTGAAGATGGTATCAAGCACATAATATCCTTTGGATATTATCTTCAGGTCATGCTAGTATGTTGGGAAACGAGCAGGCAGATAGACGGGGTGGTTCTGCACCACTTTGTGGTGAATTGGTGTATGACAAGCTAGATGTTATGAGGCCCCTTTGGAAGCGCTTGAATAGTGTGGAAGCCCAAATAAATCATTATGGTCTGAGGATAGTGGCGCTGCGGGGAGTTACCAGGGGATCTGGCTGATGCTGAACACTAAAGGGAAAGACAAGATAGATGTACAGTCAGACATTTACTGGTATGATCGGAATGGAACTCTTTACTTACTACTTACTGTTCTTAATTCAGCATTCACCATTCATTTGCCTAACCTGTGCAGCTTTTGTTTCTGTCCCTAGCCGGAGTTCCAGCACCTGTATAGCTGTGTCAAGCAGTTGGATAGTGACAGGGACCAGCTGAGTCAGATGGAGAAAATCATTCTTATTGAGGCTCTGATCATTGTCAGGTCAGTTGTTGTAGTTTGTTTCTCAAGTTTTGTGTCAACCCTTGATCAGCGGACACATTTAAATGTACAGTGTAACTAATATAACACAGCAGAGGTTTAAAATAACAGAGAAGTTTAATCTGATTTGTAGACAACAAATCATATGGTTTGACCATGTAACAAGATTGGCAGCAGAACACATTTGAAAGTATAGTGCAACTAATATAACACAGTAGAGAAGTTTAAAATAACACAGTAGAGAAGTCTAATTTGATTTGTAGACAACAAATCAAATGGTTTGGCCATGTAACAAGGTTGGCAGCAGACAGGGCACCACAGAGAGCAATTTTATACAGATTCAGTAGTAACAGACCCAGAGGTCGACCATGTAGAAGATGGACCACAGAAATATCAGAGACACTGAAAGGTACTGTATACGAAGTGAACAGAAGGGCCCGTTCTAGAGATCTCTTCCTCTTCTGACGCCAGGAAATCCAGGAGTAGAGAAAATAAGAAGAAGAGGAAAAGTTTAAAATAACACAGCAGTTTAAAATAACACAGTAGAATGTTGAATTAAGGATCAACATCATAGTATGGGACACCCCCATAAGCGCTCCATCCCCATCTTCAGCAGCAAACGAGTTCCAATTCTGATGGCACCAGTAACTGTCTGATTGTATATCCGTCTCGCCCTTCCCTTGAGTGTTGAGCGTTGGCCAGATCCCCTGTTAACTCCTTGCAAAGCCATTCTCCTCAGACTGTAATTACTTTTTTTTAAAAATACAAAATAACACAGTAGAGAAGTTAAACAATAACAGCCACATTAGAGTGGATGTGTGTCTCTCTCCTTGTTTCACTTCTGAATATAAGCACAGATAAGTAGGTGATGTATTCATGTCTAGTTTTGTTACATTCTCCTTTATTTTTTTTTGTCTGCCTTATAACTTATAAATTAAAGCACTTTTATGCTCCTGGATTGATAACTGAGATGTAATGTTTACTTATTGCCTTTTTTTCTCCATTTTCATCTTCTCCTTCTTCTGTGTTCGCTCTTAAAAGGGCACTGGTACATTGTGTTTTGGTTTACAGATAGGCTGTGATATCTACATCTTTTGGCCCAACACATCCAATTTCAACAAATCTCCAATAAGTCACTTTTTACAGCATGCTTCTCAGAGGCAGTGGATCAGCTCTCTCCCCTCCCACCTCTCCAAATAGTGGCCACAGAATCCATGCAGAAAAAAAAAAAAAAGAAACACATTCATCAATTTTATGCTGTTAAATAGTGTGAAGAGAATCTTTTCTATTTATAATTTGTGTCATCTGAAAACCTATTTTATTTGTTTATTTCTGTAGCTGGTTGAAGTGTTGTTGATTTTTTAATGTTTGTTTCAAATTTAAAAAAACATTGACTATGTGAAATGCGTGGGATTAATGATCAAACTCTCATAACTCTGTTTTCCAGCAATCAGTTCAACGACTTTGCTCGTCAGTCAGCATTTATAGAGGAGGTCATTCTGCCCGTCAAGCAGCTTTGGTCATCAGAGGATTTTGCTAAGTATGTTTATCATGTTATTATTAAACTCATAATATTTCATGATGAGAATTCGAAAAAAAAAAAAATGAGCTGCAGACTGACTCCAGTGGGGAGCAGAAAGTGAGAAATTGACTGTCACAGCAAGTTTTAGAAAGAAGATGTCTAAGAGAAGACCAGCATTGGTATGATAGAGCATCATTGTTTTATTTAGACTGTTTGGCAGGGACTACCTTTCCTGCTTTGGACTTTACAGTTATAGCAGAAAGCTGTTTCCCAAACCACCCAGCTCCATTGTCTCTAGGGACTGATGGTTGCCTATGCACACACAGTTAGAAGAAAAAATGGTCAAGGTGCCACACCCTTGATATCCGTTCAATATATGGTGCTAGCTCCATATTTTTAGACCACCTGACATTTAGTATATGATGAGGTCACCTGAAACATTCAAAGACATGACTGCAGTCCTCTCCGTCATGTAAGATTTTAATTAGATCTTTATCTTCTTCACGTTCACTAGCTGTAAACTCTGGCAAAAAGTTCAGGTTGTTCATTCCCATTTAGGGGAAATGAATAGACTAGCTCCCCTACCTCCACTCCCTACAAATTTGTTGTATTAGGGTTGTCACCTTTAAGTCGGAGTGCATCTGCCTGAGAGATGAGAAACCAACAGTCTGCCTCCTACAAATAAACCAGATTTTAAAATCTACAAAACTTAATTCTGGAACAAGACCAAACGTGGATGAACAACCATAACTTTCTGCCACAGTTTCAGCCTTGTGAGTGCAAAGAAAGAAGAAGTTGATTTTTAACTATGATATTGTACATTTTAACTGGAAATGCTTGAAATATTTGAGATTGCAAGAATTATTAATTATGGAAGTGGTGATATTTTATTTTCAGGGCATTCAGCTCACCTGAATGTTTTATGTCGTATGTGGGATTGGACCAGGCAGCTGTGGAGCCCAGCAGTGCTGATACCTGTGGCATTAATAGATCTCATGTGAGTCTCTAGTCCTTGTGAATGCCAGTTAAATGCATTGTCTTTTCCTATTTGATCTTACACATCACTTATGCATAATTTTATGAATTACTTGGCATCAGGGGGTATTTAGAGCAGGTGATGAAGCTTTCAGCATCCTGTCTCGGAAGCTGAAATATTTTAGTCATAAGCGCCACAACGGATTGGAAAAAATTATAGCAGAAGGCATGGTACAAGGAAGGAGGGGCAGGGGCCGACCAACACGAAGATGGGCACAGGAAATAAGTGACTCCTTGAGCATGAAAGTGCATGAGGCGGGAGAGCTGGTGAGAGACTGAGTTTCTTTCAGGCAGACCGTTATGAGAGCGACGTTCTGCAAAGGACCTGCTACATGATGATGATGATGATGAAGCTTTCAGTCAATCTGGGGCCATCTACACAATGAATGTTGACTGCATTAGATCTCCAACATTTCCAAGCAAAACTTCTGGCCAAGAGAGACATTGTAAGTCAACTGTATGGGCCGCTAAGAGATTTACAAAAGACAAATGAAATTCATACCCAAGACAGCATTGCAGATATGGATAATTTATTTCAAGCAAACATAAGAAGAAGAAGAAGAAGAAGAATAGATCTCTAGCATGCTTAATCCTTTGCCCTGGATATACACTGTCAGACTGAAATTCGTCCATCTCTTGATGTTATCAGACTGTTGCTAGTTATATTTTGTGTTCATTTGTTTTACTGTATGTGTACCATGGAACCTATATTATGAATGACATGATATATTTGATATGGCATACATACAGTAGATATTACACACATTGTGGGCTATGTGTTATTTTCTTGTCATTAAAAGTTATTTTTTCCGCAGATTACATACTGCATCAATACAATACTGGCCGTCATCAAGAGAAGCCAGTGGCCTGAAGACTTTGCTGTGAGTATCCTCATGTTGATGCATGGATCTGTTGTTATTGTTTGATTCCACAGCTTCCTTATTTGTTACTTTGCGAGTTTGACACTAGTCACGTTTCTCTTCAACACTTGTAAAAATAATAAATATTGTCTTTAATCTTCTTGTTCTTCTTCCTCCTTCTCCTACTTCTTCATTTCTTTTTCTTCTTCCTATTCTTCATTTCTTCCTCTTCTTGTTTCTTCTTCTTCTTCTTCTTCTTCTTCTTCTTCTTCTTCTTCTTCTTCTTCTTCTTCTTCTTCTCCTCCTCTTCCCCTTATTCCTTCTTCTTCTTCTCCTCCTCCTCTTCCCCTCTTCCTCTTATTCCTCCTTCTCTTCTTCCTCCTTTTTTTTCTTCCTCCCCCTCTTCTTCCTCTTCCTCCTTCTCTTCTTCTTTTTCTTTTTCTTCTTCAGAATTCTAAGCCCTTGAGTTCATTGCTGCATATATCACCTGCCTCCATTCATCTCTCTGATTGGCTTCTTCTTTCCAGTTGGTGACTGCCAGTATTTGTAGGTCTGCAGATATATCTCTCCAGTCTTTTTGTTCTGTCTCATGGTCTACTCCCATTCATCTGTTTTGTGTATGGACTTTTTGTAAATGTCTTTACCCACTGAGCTGCTTAAATCACGTCATAACTAACTGTCATCTTCTTATTCAATTAAAATTTACTAGCACACACACATGTAGGGGAGTCGCCGTGGCATAGCAGCTAGACGCTCACCTGCGGATTGGAAGGTCGTTGGTTGCTCCCTGGCGGGGGCCAGACTTTTAAAAAACAAATGACCTTGGCTCCCAGGTCGACCCAACCTTGAGTGGGTATCAGGGGCAGTCCTGGAAAGTAAAGGTGGCTGGCATGATGCTGACCACATAGTCCATCTTGTGCCATTGGTCTATAGAATATAGGTCTAGCCTATATACCCAATTCGCCTGAAAGGCGTGGAAAAGGGTCCTTCACTTTTACAGACACATAGGTACCAGTTTTTTTTCATATTAGGGAAATTGACGCCTATTTATTAGTAACATTAATTCAGTAGTAAAAATTAAGTGAAAGAACCTTTTGCATGCCTTCAGTCATCTTGATCATAAAGTGCTAGATCAATGTTCTATAGGCAAGTTGGCACTTGTTGGTTGACGTGGTCAGCATCTTGCCAGCCACTTTTACTTCCCAGGACTGTACTAATGAAGATAGGCTTGACATTTCCTTTGAAGTCAGAGTGCATTTGCATGGAGAAGAAAGAAACCAACAGTATGCATACACGGTAATCTAGACCTGTAAAATCATGTGCATGTAACACTGACGACCTAGAACAAGACCAAAGTCGAGATAGATGAATGACCAGAACTTTCTGCAGATGTTAACAGCCGGTGAATTGAAGAGAAAGATCCTCATCGAGTGCCATGTCAACGGGCATAGGCGATCATGCCTCTCCACAATCTGCGATTCGTAAATGCATGTATCAGTTCATGTGTTGAAACCCCTCCATCTCATGACAAAAGGCTGTTAAGAATCTTTTTGCGCTGTCTTCCTCTGTCTCTCTTTTGACAAATCTTTCTAGCTGTCACAACAAGTTCCATTTCCCTTCTTCTCATAACATGACCATACAGTTATGACTGTCTCTTTCGAATGTTTGTGATAAGTTGTCTTCGAGCACTCTTCTCTTTGCTCTTTCTAAGCAGTGCAAGGAATTCTAAGGATTCTTCTGTAAAACATCTCTGAGGCCTCAAGATATTGTTCAGCTTGTTTATTTATTGTCCAGATTCACAGCCGTATGTTAAAACTGGCTCTGTATAGCATGCAAGAACTCTTTTCCTAACCTACAGTGGCATAGATTTGTTTACACAAAATACCATAATTTGCTTAAATGGTGTGTGTTGTGACTGACATATAACTAAAATGTAAGCAGCAGGCAAGTATCTTTATACAACCGCAACCAGGCCACCATCTTCAAACTTAGAACACAACATACTCCACTCAGTGGACATCTAAACGGAATACAGCCACAACACTCCACAGAGTGCCAGCTGTGTAACTACCCCTACAAAACTGTTGAACACCATCTCTTTGAGTGCCCAAAACTCAACGGGACTAGAAGAATACTACTCCTCCGAGACCAGACAAGTGGAACACCTTGTACGGAGGAAAAGAACAGCTTGTGAAAACATGCAAATTCTACTACATGGCATTGGGCCAAAGGGCGAAAACTCATGCGCCGCTGGATCAATAACAACAACATACAACCGCAAAGGCACCAGCTTCTTTGTGTTTAGAAAATCAATGTCTAAGCCATAGACAGCATCTTGTCCCAAAAGCTGAGATATATATATATGTGTGTGTTCCAATCGTACTTGTGTTACCTTTCCTTTGGAGTAAACAAGGCAGGTTGAGAGAGGACACTTGATGCATGGGCAACAAATGATCTCCTCAATACTACTCAGGCTTTGAGCTATGGAGAGGATACACGAGCGGGTCTTAACTAGTCACACTCGCCATCGCCATGGGCTGTGAGTCCCATGCCTCCTCATAGCACAATTTAACATTATTGTCTGGACAGATGGAAAGGTGCCAGTCAATCAAAATCAATATATATTCAAGGAAATATATATGAATGGAAGTGTGTCCATCATTTTGAATAATCCTATACAGTAATTAAAGACGTTGGTTTAGTAGTGTTCTACAGAATGTACCCTGAGCTATATGTCTTTGATAATGATGGCATTTTTTCTTCAAATATTGGTTTTTCAGGTTGCGCAAAGAGGTGGATTTGTTGTGCAGATATATCTCTCCAGTCTTTTTGTTCTGTCTCATGGTCTACTCCCATTCATCTGTTTTGTGTATGGACTTTTTGTAAATGTCTTTACCCACTGAGCTGCTTAAATCACGTCATAACTAACTGTCATCTTCTTATTCAATTAAAATTTACTAGCACACACACATGTAGGGGAGTCGCCGTGGCATAGCAGCTAGACGCTCACCTGCGGATTGGAAGGTCGTTGGTTGCTCCCTGGCGGGGGCCAGACTTTTAAAAAACAAATGACCTTGGCTCCCAGGTCGACCCAACCTTGAGTGGGTATCAGGGGCAGTCCTGGAAAGTAAAGGTGGCTGGCATGATGCTGACCACATAGTCCATCTTGTGCCATTGGTCTATAGAATATAGGTCTAGCCTATATACCCAATTCGCCTGAAAGGCGTGGAAAAGGGTCCTTCACTTTTACAGACACATAGGTACCAGTTTTTTTTTCATATTAGGGAAATTGACGCCTATTTATTAGTAACATTAATTCAGTAGTAAAAATTAAGTGAAAGAACCTTTTGCATGCCTTCAGTCATCTTGATCATAAAGTGCTAGATCAATGTTCTATAGGCAAGTTGGCACTTGTTGGTTGACGTGGTCAGCATCTTGCCAGCCACTTTTACTTCCCAGGACTGTACTAATGAAGATAGGCTTGACATTTCCTTTGAAGTCAGAGTGCATTTGCATGGAGAAGAAAGAAACCAACAGTATGCATACACGGTAATCTAGACCTGTAAAATCATGTGCATGTAACACTGACGACCTAGAACAAGACCAAAGTCGAGATAGATGAATGACCAGAACTTTCTGCAGATGTTAACAGCCGGTGAATTGAAGAGAAAGATCCTCATCGAGTGCCATGTCAACGGGCATAGGCGATCATGCCTCTCCACAATCTGCGATTCGTAAATGCATGTATCAGTTCATGTGTTGAAACCCCTCCATCTCATGACAAAAGGCTGTTAAGAATCTTTTTGCGCTGTCTTCCTCTGTCTCTCTTTTGACAAATCTTTCTAGCTGTCACAACAAGTTCCATTTCCCTTCTTCTCATAACATGACCATACAGTTATGACTGTCTCTTTCGAATGTTTGTGATAAGTTGTCTTCGAGCACTCTTCTCTTTGCTCTTTCTAAGCAGTGCAAGGAATTCTAAGGATTCTTCTGTAAAACATCTCTGAGGCCTCAAGATATTGTTCAGCTTGTTTATTTATTGTCCAGATTCACAGCCGTATGTTAAAACTGGCTCTGTATAGCATGCAAGAACTCTTTTCCTAACCTACAGTGGCATAGATTTGTTTACACAAAATACCATAATTTGCTTAAATGGTGTGTGTTGTGACTGACATATAACTAAAATGTAAGCAGCAGGCAAGTATCTTTATACAACCGCAACCAGGCCACCATCTTCAAACTTAGAACACAACATACTCCACTCAGTGGACATCTAAACGGAATACAGCCACAACACTCCACAGAGTGCCAGCTGTGTAACTACCCCTACAAAACTGTTGAACACCATCTCTTTGAGTGCCCAAAACTCAACGGGACTAGAAGAATACTACTCCTCCGAGACCAGACAAGTGGAACACCTTGTACGGAGGAAAAGAACAGCTTGTGAAAACATGCAAATTCTACTACATGGCATTGGGCCAAAGGGCGAAAACTCATGCGCCGCTGGATCAATAACAACAACATACAACCGCAAAGGCACCAGCTTCTTTGTGTTTAGAAAATCAATGTCTAAGCCATAGACAGCATCTTGTCCCAAAAGCTGAGATATATATATATGTGTGTGTGTTCCAATCGTACTTGTGTTACCTTTCCTTTGGAGTAAACAAGGCAGGTTGACAGAGGACACTTGATGCATGGGCAACAAATGATCTCCTCAATACTACTCAGGCTTTGAGCTATGGAGAGGATACACGAGCGGGTCTTAACTAGTCACACTCGCCATCGCCATGGGCTGTGAGTCCCATGCCTCCTCATAGCACAATTTAACATTATTGTCTGGACAGATGGAAAGGTGCCAGTCAATCAAAATCAATATATATTCAAGGAAATATATATGAATGGAAGTGTGTCCATCATTTTGAATAATCCTATACAGTAATTAAAGACGTTGGTTTAGTAGTGTTCTACAGAATGTACCCTGAGCTATATGTCTTTGATAATGATGGCATTTTTTCTTCAAATATTGGTTTTTCAGGTTGCGCAAAGAGGTGGATTTGTTGTGCAAAATGATGGCTCTGGCAGGCTAAGGAATCCTGCGACCCAACACATCTGTCCATTATTTGACAATCTGATAACATTGCTTAAGTATGTCTATAGGGTTTATATTTTGATCATTACTTATTTTATTTTTTGATAAAGTTAAATTGTTGCAGTTTACTAATGATTTATCTGTTTCTTCTTCTTGGTGTTCATCAGCTGTAATTCCGGCAGAAAGCTCTGGTTGTTTGTCCACTTCTGCACTTTAGTGTTTTTCCAGAACTTGAGTTTTGCATGCACATCCGTTTACATGTCTGACTTTTTTCTGTGCAGACTCTTGGTTCCTTGCCTCTCAGGTAGATCCTTCTAACTTTGAAGGAAATGTCCCCAATTAAGTCAACTTTTATGACATGCTTGGTAGGGAGCGATGTCCATTTACAATGTAACCAATGTCTTCGCTTGTTTGTAATGTGTTTAATATTGTCCTAGAGCTCAATGTATGGAGCCCATGCATAGAGAAGGTACTTAAACATTTATCTCTGTTTCTTCTTGTTGAACTCTTTCTCGCCGGGAACACTAAAAAAGAAAAAAGGTAATGATGCCCCTCGAATCCCAGAAAAAAAATCTGTGAAAACAATTTTTACATTAGTAAATTTGTAAAAAAAAAAAAAATTATTAAATCTATTTTTCGAATTTACGTTAAATAAAAATACATTACAAAAAAGTAAGATATATGAAATAAGTATTCAATAAACACTAAAAAGGTGAAGCATTAAATATAGTATGTTTCCTTAAGCATTTAAAAACACATGTATAGGTGTTTCATGCAGAGAAAATCTTACGTCAACTTGGCTTTACAAGAACCATTTATCTCAAAGAAAATGCCCTAAATTCTATTTCTGGTTAAGGCATTCGTATCCTGACCTCCTAAACAGGTCACTCTAGGCAAGTCGGAAAAGTGACATTTATGGGGAATTGAACCCAACTGAAATTGTTGGTTTTTCAGCTTCTCAGGGTGAAAAGGTTAAACCGATGCCTCTTGTACATCAGTTCTGATCTTACTGATGTTTCTTACTGTAGCTCATGATCAGTAATGTGGGAGTTGTAAGTCTCAGTATCTTAAATTATTATATTTTGTTTTATATTCCCTTTTATTTAATTGACTTTATATTTAAATTGTGCTCCTCATAGCAAAGAAAGTTATTTATTTTTAATGCATACGTCAGTGATGATGTATGTCATTTCAGTTATTCATTATCAACATTTTGTATGCTTGGCTTATCTTATGTTTAAACTCTATTTTTCAGTAATGATTTATTTGTTTTATTTGTTAATCTTTTTTGTTTTGTTTTTTTGGTGTTATATTTTGTTTGTTTGTTTTGATAATGACTATTTTTCACTTAACACTTGCAAGTTACACCATATATGTAGAGATTCTTGTTTGATTTGATTTGAGATCATTTGAAACATCCACCAACCGCATGTTATTTTATGTTTTCAGAACCAGTTGCTGCTTATTTACGCAAGAATATCTGAATTTGCGCCACAAGGATTTCATTAAAGCGTACGATCTGATGGACCATGACCGCCTGAATGTTCTTGGTGAGACATTTTTTCAGTATTTTTGCTTCTGTTTATATGATTTGTGTGTCTGTGTATAGCTGCTGATTTCCATCTTTCTGTCTAGCTGTTCTTGTTCATCCATACAATGTCTTTCTGTTTTGTTAGCATTTTTTTTTCGGTCTCGTATTTTTACTCATCTGTCTTTCCATCTGACAGTTTACAGATTATGGTCTATGTTTCTCAGTGTTTTTTATTCTTTATGTTTGTATGTTTCCATCCATCATTTGTTACTCTGTTCACAACTGTCTGTTTTTTTAGTGTGTCATTAGGTCAGTGTTTATCTTTATAAGTAAATATATGTTGTTTGTATACAAATACATGTTTTTTTTAATTTGTACCATATATAAATATTGATAAGAAGAGTGAAAAAGTAAGATAAATGTCTGGGCAGCCACTAGTACCAACATTTATAAGACAGAGATTATATATTGCCATATTGGACACATTCTGAGAAAAGATAAACAGAGAATGAGCAAACAGGCACTGAAATAGGAAATAGTTGGATTGAGGAAACAAGGATGTCCAAGAGAAACCCTGAAACGAATGTTGAGGAGAGAGGCCAAAAATGCTGGAGTCAGTCCAACCATGATTTTGAGGTGATTGCACAGGATCGAACGGAAGGGAGAAATATACTGTGAACCCGGTGTAACATATAGTGAACACAACAGAACAATGAATGAATGAATAGAAATGTTACACAACATATTTGTTCTGCTGTACTACTGAACAGGCATCCCTCCAGCTTGTGTGGACAACTCAGATTCCTTGTTTTATAGGCATCCGCTGGAACGTATGCAAAACTTCATTACTGCGGTCTTTGAATATGGGTAAATAATTGCTGTTTGTTGTTTTAGTACTGTACCGTCACTTACACTATACTGACCTCAGGTTTAAAAAAAAAAAAGAATTTCCGTTATTATAGTATTATCTTCCCTATGTTGGTTCTGGGACCCATATGGGGGAGGAGGAGAGGGGGAGGGAGGGAATAAACCAACTGCCCTTATTAAAAGTTAGTTGTGTGTCCTTTACAGGACTTTGCATATTTTTTTTAACTCTTTGAGTCCCAAGGAACGCATCATACATACGTTCATAGATTCCTACCTAAAAGCCCAATAAACGCAAGATGCGCTGTTTTTACTTCTCTCCTGACTACCCCTTGGGCCTGTGATGATAAACCCCCGGGACTCAAAGAGTTAAGCTGTTAAAGATTTCACTTGGCATTTTATACATTCATAATTTGCCATTGCTTTCTGAACAGTTGACTTTCATTACTACTGTTGAAACCAATGCAAGGTGATCTGCTACCAGGTCACCTGCAGCTGGGATCGAACCTGGCACTGCAGAGTTAGGTTTGCAAAGTCTAAGCCCCAGGAGCCAACCATACACTGTTAATGACATCAATAAAAAATGCTGCTGTTATGAAAGTATTGTTTTCCCCCATGTGGGTTCTGCGATCCTGGGGAGGGGGGGGGGATTGTTTGACCCTCTGTGGCTATCAAGCGTATCATAAAGGACAGCTAATTAGAGGTTTGCTGAAATTACTTATTTTGAGCTAAAAGGCGCAGATATCACAGCTTAGCTAAAAAAAAAAAAAACAATTTGCCAACCACCTGTTTATGGCATATGCAGTACAAGAAGAATGTACATAGTGCTCATTAATTTTTGGAAATGGACTGATGCTGTAATATCTGCAAGTGTTTGTTAGCTGTGAGACTAAGATAGGATTTAACATCAGTAAAATACAGTTGTTACTGAATTCTTGTTTTCTTTGTACAGATTCCATATCCTGGGCAATGCAAGTCAGTGTCTGGGGACAGAGTTCTACTCAGCTCCAGGCTTGACTGAAGTTATCATTGGGAATCTGGTGGTCAACTTTAAACTGCTCCCTGACTACAGAGCCAGGCTGTTCATACGTATCCTTGTTTAGATATCCAGAAATATGATGAAGACTTATTTTAGCAGTGCCAAGGTTAAATAGTATAAAGAGCCTATGGCACAGCAGCTCAGAGTGAAAATCTTGACAACATGCATCTTTTCTGTAGCAGCAAATGGAAGGGATTCTGCAAAGAACCTGCTACATGGTGATGTTTTACAATGTTGTGGACTAATGCATTATCATCTTTTTTCTGAGTAAATCTATTGCAGAATGTCACTCTCATACCTGCAGCTGATCAGAACAAGTCATTATCCCCCTGCCTCAGAACAGGGCACAACCGATTACGTAACCGCATGCACACACAATTCAAGATAGGCGTATCAGCCATGTGCACCTGTGGAAAGGTGCCCCAGACAGCAAAACATGTACTCCAGGACAGCACCGAATTTGACACATTAAGGCAAACCTTTTGGCCAGAAAGAACAACAGTGGAACGTAAACTCTATGGACCACTGAATGAACTAACGACAGTGAAATTTATACAAGAGACAAAATTGCTGATATAGACAACTTTTTTTCAGGCGAGTGAATGAAGAGGAAGATACCTGCAGCTGGTAAAAATCTTCATTCTTTTCAAGGTCCTTTGTATTGTCGGGTATCTTTAATGTCTTATGTCTAAACTGGTTTTCTTCTGCCTTAAACCTTTGGCCTCCAGATGTCAGTTATCTGGCATTGCCGTCTGTTACACATGCACATCCCTGGAAAGCTGTTAGACAAGCATTGCTGCATTGGCCAGTTCCCGTCTAGCCTACTTATATGGCATTTGTCTTGTTTACATTTGTGCAGCATTGTAGGAGAACTTGGTATGATACTTTTTTTAAACTAAAAAATCAGCGGGGAAGGGGGGGGGGGGGGGGGTATTGTGGATGAAAAAAATATTGTTTTAGTGATAATGACATCACAATTTGCTGTTAGTCTTAGGCAGTCTTATAGCAACGGAGGTCAAGGTATACATTGACATATAATATTTTTTTTTTTTTCAAAGGGCTAAGGGAATGCAATTCATTTAATTCTTTGCTCTGCTTCTGTTTATTGATTTTTTTAAATGTGTATAAATAAAATGCATTAGTGACATAAGCAATATTGGTTTTTTTAAAGGCTTGGGGTGGGGGGGGGGGGGATTCCGTTTTTCATTAACGGCATTTGCTTTTCATGGCAAAAGGGTTAAGTAAAAGTCTTTTTTTTTATATATAACATTATCAGCATAAAGGCCTGCAATTTAAAAAAAAGAAATATAATAATTTAGTGAAGTAAAACTGTTTTAAAAGGTCTTAAAATTCAAATATCTTTTAATTAATACAAAAGTTTATGCAAAACGAGAACCTTGACCAGAACCTTAAGGCAACTTCATCAAGCCCTTCATTCAGTGGTGTCCCAAGGAGCAGTACCAGAGCGTGGCTATACCTGTGCTGACCATATTGTGTCCAGACATTTATCAGGTACAGTATTTTGTGACCAGTGCTTTTTAACTCATCTTTGCTTCACTTTTTAACTCATGTTTGTATTTTTCTTGACATCTGTGTTTATCTGTGTTTACTGTTTCATTAATTAATAATGTCTGATGGATTATTACAACATAAGTTTTAGTCAGTTTTAGGAAGGTGGAATTAATGCCACATGGCTCCTTCTAAACACTTGACTTGGAGAAGACTGCTGATAATAAGATGCCCAAAACCAACACAGGGGAAATATGTTTACATTTTTCTCACAGCTAATGCCTTTATTTTCTAGTCTTTTCCTTATCATTCTCATTACAAATCCTCTTCTTCTTCTTAAAGTCAATGCTGTGTGGCGTTGGTAATCATGTCTATCCGCAACCTATTGTCCATCAATATATTGAGCCATAAATTGTTTAAATAGTTCATCATGAATATCTGTAGTAATTATTCTTCAGATTTTGACTGCCTTTTATCCTTTTTTCCCATTTTACACTTACTTTTTTGTATTTTATTGATATATATTCCTTTTGTTTGTTTACTATAGTGCTAAATAAGCCAAATATATCACAGTCTGTTTCTCTAGATTTCCCAGTTAGTATTTGTCCTTTCATTTATTGACCTATATTTGTTGTTTTCCTGACAAAGGGACTACATAGTTTTAACGTGTATCAGATGTTCTCTCAGTTTAGATTGTTCTTTTTATATCACTGAAGGATTCTATCATCTTTACCTATTCAGCTATCTTTCTTGCTTTGAGAGGCTGCAGTCATTGTCTTTGTGATATAATGAACAATTGCATTTTCATAACTTAAAAACCGTTCTGGAGGGAAAAGTAGAAGCTAAGTAAGTAGGTTGCAGACGGTGGCATAAATGGGAAAATAACATCAAGGGGTGGATGAACAGCAGTCTAAGAGAGTGCACATTCAGAGTGACAGATCCTTTGCAGTTGACCTTCATTGTGAAGACGGCACCGGATTGATTCTTCTTTTTCTACACTTTTTTTTTTTTTTGCAGCTATGGGTTTTGAGGAAGATAAGGCTTTGCCTTTTTCTCTTCTGCCCCCTGAACCACCGACACATTTTGTTGTTGTAAGGTTTCTCTCATGTTATCTTTTAATCTTATTCTTGGTCTGCATTGTGCTCTATGTTTTTCTCTTTAGAATAGTGCTCTGTATGGTATGCGGAACAGCGCATAAATGCATTTGAATATAAATGTTACAGACAGGTTCTAAGAATATCTTGGGTGAAGAAAAGAACAAATGCATCCATACTTCAAGAGCTGAATATTGAAGAGGGTTGGCTAGTAAAGACAATAAAACAAAATTGAAATATTTTGGTCACTTGAAACGTCATGGAAGTCTAGAGAGAACAATAATGGAGGGGTATATGCCTGGGAAGAGAGGAAGAGGAAGGCCAAGGAGAAGATGGGTGCAGGATGTGGCAGATGATCTCCAGATGGGTGTATCAGACGCAGGACATCTTGCTCAGGATAGGAAGGTTTTCCGGAGGGTTGTTATGACAGCGAGGTTCCGCGAGGGACATGCTACTGAATGAATGAATGGTATGTCACTGCAAGGCCAGTAAGTGACGCAAAGAATATAACTCTTTAACCCACCATTGCAGTTTTTGTAGGTGGTGATAAAGAAGGGTTGGAATGAGACTGAATTCATTATCCTGTAGAAACCTCTAATGGGGTAAATAATTTAATCTGCTCTCTTTGTATGTAATTTAGAATTTGTTCTGTGCTGTATTTTTTATCTTATGACTCCATTGATGCTTTTTATCTCTTCTTGTCACTCCTTCAGCCTTTCTCAGACATCTAATTTCCATGGCTACTCATTTTCTTTTATGATTTGTTGTAAGTGATGATGTCTAGCATTGGTAGCATAGAGTGTTGATTCTTTTATTTGTTTAACATTCTTCATTCATATATGTTGGATGTCCTTGCAATTTATTGATTGAAACTTTTTTTAGACCATGAAATATGACATCTGCTGATAACAGTTAAAAATGTGATGATATCTTTTACAGAGGCTAACAGAAAGATGGCAGGTTATCAACAAAAGATTAGAGGAAAAGTAAGTAAAGTGAAGCAGTATAAATGCACTAATTATCTGATAAAAAATTCCTGCTTGTGATAATTTTATTTCTAGTTTTCTGTATTTGATTGTGGATCATGGACAGTTGGTGAATTAGTGAAAACCTTTTTGGAAGCTGCAGAGATGTGGTTTTATAGACGAATGATGAGAATACCCTGGACAGATAAAAGGAGTAACGAAGATGTCTTGAAAGAAACTGACTCACAAAGAGAACTGATTGCCCACATTAGAAAGAGACAATCTGCATTCTTTGGTCATGTGATTAGAAGGAGATAACTGAAGTATATCGTGAGGGTAGGAAAGTTGGAGGGGAGGAGTGACAGAGAGAAAGAAGCTGAACAGTTTGACATCATGTCATTAAGGATCATCTATGTCAGAACTGATTAAAAGTACACGAGACAGAAGGTTGTGGATAGACATGACTATGACTACCAACGCCACATGGCATGGACTTTAAGAAGAAGAAGTATTTAATTGAGACCTATGTAACTTTATATCTAGCATAAAATTTGTGTTATTACTGATAGGCAAGATTTTTTTTTCTAAAAAAAAAGTGCTGATAATTTCTAGTGAGTGTCTTTTACACCAGTGCTATTCATGGATAGATGAACTATATATATATCATCATCATCAATTCTCGTTATGCCTAGTGGCACATGAGGCTTCAGAGAGGACTTTCCATGCTTTCCTGTCCTGTGCAATCTTCAGTTCAGTTTTCCATGTCAAAGATGCCGCACTCAGGTCACTTTCCATCGTTCGTCTCCATGTTGTTTTTGGGTGCCCCTGTTTTCTCTTTCCCTCTGGTGTCCATGTGAGAGCTGTTTCGGCAGGTATATCAGAAGTCATTCTCATAACGTGGCCAAGCCATTTCCATCTTATCTTGGTTATCATACTGTCTAAAGTTTCTTGGTTTGTGGCTTGAAGTAGTTTAGTGTTTGAGATTGTATCTGGCCAACAAATTTTGATAATTCTACGTAGACATATGTGGTGGAAGGTGGACAGCTTGTGTGCATCCTTTTTGGTCATTCTCCAGGATTCCACTCCATAAAGAAGAACTGTCAAAATGATGCTCTTGTAGAGTCGGAGTTTTGTTCCTCTGCAGTAATTGTTGGATTTCCAGATTTGCCTCATCCTTCCATATATATATATATATATATATATATATATATATATATATATATATATATATATATATATATATATATATATATATATATATATATATATATATATATATATATATATATATATATATATATATATTATACTAAATGATGAAGTAGAAAAGTTTTTAAACAGCTTCTCAAATAAAGCAGTGTGAACTGATATATTACAGACAGAAATAATCCTAGCAACAGGTGAAAGCAACATCAGATGGATTCACAGAATATTTAATGCAGCATTAAATATTCTGTGAATCCATCTGATGTATTGAATAGAAAACTCGTTGAGAAAACCTGAGAACAGTATAACTAGAATGTCTTTGCACTGGAACCCACAGGGAAGTAGAAATAAGGGAAGACCAAAAAACACATGGAGAAGGGAGCTAGAGAGTGAAGTTAAAAAGATAGGGAGGACATGGGGAGAGCTGTGTGCAATAGCAAAGGATAGAATCACTTGGCCTGAGTTGAGTAAAGGCCTATTCTCTATTGGGGGTTAGAAAGGCAGAAGAAGAAGTGCTGACTTGATATTTGTTTTAGAGTGTCTTCCTGGTCCACCTACAAGTTGTTTCTTTAGTGAGTCACAGTCATCATTTGGAAATGGTCCGCTAGAAATTCTTTAAACTTTTTGCATTTAGTTTGTTTAAAAGTAAGAGTCTGGAGGATCGCCTTCATTGCATGGGTTTTATCACAAATGGCTTGGTCCCTCTCCACAGAACAGCTTGCCGCCTGCCAAGAGTGTTGCACAAAGCACGAACACATTAACTCTGGCTACAATATCCAGTGTTTCTGTAATAACTGCGCCCATGAACATAATGACACAGCTAAGAAATGAAACACAGGTTGTAACCCATTAGTGCTCCGTTCTTCTTCTAACTCAAGTCTGAGTCCGAAGAAGCTCAACATAGAGCACAGGCTCTGTAGCATCAGCGAGGATCCTGAAATACCGGGCAGCGCCATTAGGCTACTCTTTTCCATTTCCAACTACCAAGGGATTTTTACATCCTCAACAATGCACACTGGCGTCTGATCTAACTACCCAGAGACCAGGAAGAATTACTAGAAGTTCAAGTCAACATGAAAAAATCCCAGCCCTTACCGGGGGTTGAACCCGGAACCTCTAGCACTCGAGGCGGACACCATGCCTCAAGACCATGTGAAATGAATCATGACTTAAAGTGCTAGGCAAAGGACTTGGCCGCATCACCATAGAGACACTCATTTCAGTTTGATTGGTCTCTAATATAAAATCTTTTAAAGTCCTCTGCCTTTTGTGAGTGACAGACCATTCCTACTGATGTATTTATTATTACAGATCAGAAGATGATGATGGAGATGACCCAGAGTCCCAGGAAGTGTTGGAAGAACAGTTGGTCAGGAATCTGACCAAAGAATATCTAGAGTTACTCGGTATGTGTGCCAGCTTTGTTAACTTGGCTGGCTATAATATTTTGAATCACACATCTTTCAGTAATGGTAATTTCAAAGAATTATCTGCTAGAGTGCAGTGTCATAGTACTAAGGACAATTTTGATGCAAAATACAAGGAGGCTTCAAATAAAGTGCGATAGAAAGTTAAGTGACCATTTTCAAACTGTCATAACATTGTGACATCATATGCTTAACACTCTTGACACCTTTAGCAACAATATTAGCAGGTTACAAGACAGTGGCATGGTTATTGTAATTTTTGTCACACTTTTAAGGTTTCCATTTGAAACCCCTTCATAGTTCAATTATTGACAGTCGCCCGCTAACCCTGGAAGGATTTGGGTTCAGGGTGGATAATTTAAAAGTGGCTATGGCAGCCAGTCACCAGTTCAGTAATGGGCACCAGGAAAAATCCTGGGAAGTAAAGGAGGCTGGTGTGATGGTAAAAATACCCATCAAATGCTGAAAGAATCAGTCTAGCACCATATACTCAGTGTGTCTTTGGTGTATAAAGGATCCTTTGCTTTACTTACTATTCAGGTCATTTGGGCGTCTTGATATTTAAATTTATTGTTACTCTCCTAAATTTAATTATCTAGGCACATGGATAACATCCAATTTAAGATGTCTCACAGAGATAAAGAACAGTATAGGACAGGCCGTAACTGCATTTGATCAAATGAAGTACATTTTGTGCAATTAATCGGTGTCATTGTAGGTTAGGAAAAGAATTCTCACATGCTATATAGAGCCAGTTTTAACATTTGGCTGTGAATCCTGGATAATTAGTAAACAAGCTGAACAATATCTTGAGGCCTCAGTGATGTGGTTTTACCGATGAATCCTTGGAATTCCTTGGACTGCTAAGAAGAGCAACCCAGATGTTTTGAAAGAGGCGAGTGCTGGGAGACAACTTATCACAAACATTAGAAAGAGTCATCATTTTTTGGTCATGTTAGAAGAGGGAATATGGAACGTGTTGTGACCACTGGAAAGATCTGTGGGAAGAGAGACAGGAAGTCAGCGTGAGAAGATTCTTGACAACCTTTTATCGTGGCATAGTGGAGTGTCACCACACAATCTGACTGTTCGCAATTGCGATCGCAGATTGTGGAGACGATTGATCCCCCACTCCAGTTGGAAGGCACTTGATGATGATCATTACTCTTTTGCATGCGTCTGCATGATCAGTCTCAGATAGTGGTCTGATAATCATGTTTGTCCACCTGAGTTATGGCATAATAATGTTTAAACATATAGTTAAAAAAAGGACAATTTTCCATGCCCTCAGAGATGACTGGATGCAGGTTATATATGCAACCATGAACCTCAAGTGCTCAAAATGCTGAAGATGAAGAAGAAAAGAAAGAAGAAGAAAACTTGGCACAGAATGCTCACTTTACCTCTTGTGTTCTTCACAGTACTGGTTCTGTCAGGCAAAAATGTCAGTTCTGAGATCAAGGAAGAAATGGCCATGGACGAAGATGTTTCCAAGCAAGCAGCAACAAGTCATAATATCTACAAAGACCTCAGTGTCCTTGGGCAGGCTGTTATCGGTTCTCCTGTAAGTGTCTGCCATTATTCAGCATTAAGAAGGCTATCATTGCACACGCTCACCTTCTTCTTCACTTTGTCTTTTACAGATCGGGTGTCAAGGAGATGCAAGGTTTTGCTTCATGCCCTTCTGGCTACCTCAGCCCTAGACACATTGTACTCTTGTGGAATTTCTCTGTTGTTAACTTTCTGTCTACCTCGTACCCTCTGCGACTCTCCACCTTTGGTATATGGCTTTTATACGGTGTCACAAGAAGTTTTCTCTAAGCATTTACTTTCTATGTAATTTACTATTGGTTCTGTGCCTTCTGGTCAGTCCTACAGGCTTTTTCCACCATCTCATTTCCATTGTTGCTAATTTCTAAGAGTTCCTGTGCAACAAATGTTTCAGCACATTCACTGTCAAAATGGTAAATAAGCCACAACATTTATTGAAGGGGAACTACTTGTGATGATCTGAAGCCTTCTGGTGCACTAGCTTTCCATGGAGTTCTTATTACACACATCAATTTTAAAACAGAAAGCTTCCTGGCAGTATTTGTTTCACATCAGGAAAGCATAATTTGCTCTTGGACTGCATCATTCAGTTCACCGATGCAATTGTTTTGGAGATTTCTAGGGATCATTGCTGGAGCTATAGAGTTCATGTTTTATATGATGCTTTTGAGAGGCAACAGAGCACCAAGTCAGACAGCATCAAACCTGGTGCAATGAAGCTGATCCACTCATTTTCAAATTCTTACTATGTTTGGTGGGCAGGTATGGACTGGAAACACTGATGTGTTACTAGGGCCAGTAAGTGATGCAAAGATTATAACACTTTAACCCACAAATGCAGTTTTCATAGGAGGTGATAAAGGAGGGTTGGAGTAAGACTGATTCATCATCATGTAGAAACCTTTAGCTGATGTCTTTGTTTGTCCATAACAGGTGGTCTTCCTTTCATCTGTCATGAATCTATAACTGGTTGTCTGTGAGTCTTGGAAGTGACTTATAAGCCTAATATGGGCCCTGAAGGATCTAGGACAATGATAGACAACGGTTGTTTGTAGATTAAGGGTCTTTCTAGACTGACTTTGCTGTTCAACTGTCCTTTTTCTTTATGCTCGGCATGTTGCTACGTCTCTTCAGACATACATTCGCCATATAATTCAGTCTTGTGCATCAGCCTCCCAAGTGTCAGAGTTCATATTGAAGGCTATAATTGATGCAGTGAAATGTATGAAAATGTGATTTGCACTGTGAACTGATTTAAGCGAGGAAGAGTGGCACAATTTCGTTGACCTCACTCTCTCGCTTATGTCAATCTGGATCCAGTGGCAGGACATGTTGAGATGACTAGAGATGAGGGGATTAAGTCAAGTACATTTCCCCTTATCTGCAGGAACTGTACCCAAGTGATAATTTGTATTACATTTTCCTTTATCTGCAGGAACTGTACCCATCCATCATCATGTGCATCCTGGCAGGTTTTTCCTGGGCAGATACTACAGTGTGCAACAGGTGCTGCAGTCTCTTGTGGCCTGTCTGTAAACAGGTCAGTGTCTTGGTTGCCACTTTTTCTTTGGGAGTTCTCAGTTTTTTCCTCTTTCAAATAAAATCTTGCCATGGCTAGAGCCCATAACTTAGATGGAATCTGACTGGAGGTAGTTAATCTTACATGCGTGAAGTAAACCTTGCATGGATGAAGTAAACCTTACATGGATAAAGTAAACCTTACATGGATAAAGTAAACCTTACATGGATGAAGTAAACCTTGCATGGATGAAGTAAACCTTGCATGGATGAAGTAAACCTTGCATGGATGAAATAAACCTTGCACAGATGAAGTGAAACTTGTACAGATGAAGTGAAACTTGCACAGATGAAGTAAACCTTGCACAGATGAAGTGAAACGCACAGATGAAGTAAACCTTGCACAGATGAAGTGAACCTTGCACAGATGAAGTGAACCTTGCACAGATGAAGTGAACCTTGCACAGATGAAGTAAACCTTGCACAGATGAAGTGAAACTTGTACAGATGAAGTGAACCTTGCACAGATGAAGTGAAACTTGTACAGATGAAGTGAAACTTGCACAGATGAAGTAAACCTTGCACAGATGAAGTAAACCTTGCACAGATGAAGTAAACCTTGCACAGATGAAGTAAACCTTGCACAGATGAAGTGAAACTTGTACAGATGAAGTGAAACTTGCACAGATGAAGTAAACCTTGCACAGATGAAGTGAAACGCACAGATGAAGTAAACCTTGCACAGATGAAGTGAACCTTGCACAGATGAAGTGAACCTTGCACAGATTAAGTGAACCTTGCACAGATGAAGTAAACCTTGCACAGATGAAGTAAACCTTGCACAGATGAAGTGAAACTTGCACAGATGAAGTAAACCTTGCATGGATGAAGTGAACCTTGCATAAATAAAGCAGACCTCACACATGTGAAGCAAACATTGCGGTTTTATAAAAAAATCCAGGAAAAAGCTCCAGATAGAACACACTTATAGTTATATCTTCCCCATGTTCTTTCAATGGCCCTATTGTGGGGAAAACAAGAAAAGACCCACTGCCTGCCCAAATGCATGTCATAAGAGTCGACTAATTGGGGAGCTTCCTTCAAAGTCTGAGTGCATCTGCCTGAGAGGCAAGGAACCAACAGTCTGCATGAAAATAACTCAAACCTGCGAAACGGATGTACACGCAACATTGAGTCTCTGGAAGAGGACTAGAGTCCAGAAGTAAAGGACCCTTTTTCTACACCGTTAGGCATATGGGGCTAGACCTATATTTTTATAGACCAATCGGCACAAGATGGCTGATGTGATCAGCATCACGCTGGCCGCCTTTACTTTCCAGGACTGCAGCCGGTACCCACTCAAGGCTGGGTCGACCTTGGAGCCAAGGTCATTTTTGAAAAAAGTCCAGCTCAATGCACCTAAAGCCACTATGATAAATATCTCTGTTTCACCAGCTAGTGTTCACAGTCATCAGATGACATTGAAACAAATACTATTTTGTCCTCAGCTCATCGCCAACAACCAGATTTCTGAGGAAGCTGCCCAGCATGTATTCATGTCTATTTTGTCTGGCCTACAACTTCATGGCCAGCATGAGTCCTGCCTGTCCAACTTGCTGTCCCTTTCACTGATATTCTATGAGACCCTGGTAAGGCACAGGTTGTTGAATGAAGTAATTGATTTATTTGTACGATTGTCCATATATTTATATGCTAGTGAAGGTTTTTGTTGCATGCTGATTTGGGAGAGTTAATAGTGTGTGAAGGGACAGAGTGGTAGGATAGAACTTTCTGTGAGTTCACAGGGAATTAATGTCAACATTTGCCGAGTATTGAGGGGGAGAGAGTGTTGACCAGTGAAAATGTATTATCTTGCACAAGGCATGCACGCACGAGAAAGTAGAAGCGTGGGTTTACTGTGAGGGGGCTGACAAGCATGGGTAACGAGGAGAACAGAGTGAGTGTGAATTATGTGACAGCATGATTCTCATGTAACATCAGCCACTCACATAAGTGTGATCCTCAAGAATGCTCCCTTGAGCGTGAGTCTCGAGAACATCCACATAAGCATGTTTCCAGAGAACACCCACACGAGCGTGCCTCTCGTGTAACCTATGAGTTCGACAGGGATAAATTGGGGCTGAGTAGTCAGTCCGAGTCAGAGTCGAGAGTCAGAGAGAGAGAGAGACCAAGTCAAGGTCAGTGATTATCTCTCTCGAGTCTAACAGACAAGAGTACCATACAGCTATCAGGCATCAAGGCCTGAGTAAGGGTTGAGGTTGCGGTACTGGTCGAAGGTATAGTCCCGCTGGCGAAGTAAGTCCAAGGGGACGGGATGCTCCAATAGTACCTGTTCTGGGTGAAGACACGAGGAGACGTAGGGTCACTACAGAAACAGAACAGGGTAAGATGCCGACAAGAGCTGTGTGCTAGAGGGGACTTGTGTTAGAAGTCCTGTCGATCATCAGAGTCCTTTGTCAAGCTGAGGTGCTGTTTGCTTTGGAGAACGGCCAGGGAAGTCCGTCTCCAGTCAGCCGTGGTTGTCTGCTGAATAATATCAAGGTCCAGTGGATGGGAGAATTTGTCCTGTTCAGCTGTACGGCGTGCCCAGAGTTGTGGGACGCTGTAGGCCTTTGGAGCTGTAGTGGTCAGGGAGAGGTCGCTACAAGTTGAGAGAGAGCGAGTGCGGACTAAATGGACTATGTGCGAATGTCAATTGGGATCAATGTCTACGTCTCTGCAGTTTTGTTGATATGAGGGCTTATGTATACCCTCGTGTGTTCTGTCGAATAAATATACTATGTGACGGAACTACTGTCGCCGAGTCCTGCTTTGAGTGAGAGGGAGCGAAAGTTGTACCTGCTGGACACTTGGTAGTGTGCTGATTAGTGTGTAACTCAGACAGCACACAACAATTTTCTAGCCTTCTACCCATGTAGAGATAAGTTATGTACACACATTAACTAAATGGTGCCTGCACAGAACAAAGGAAGTTAAATGGTATGAAAGAATCACCAGTGTTAAACTTAGGAAGAGAAGAGAACTAAAAAACGTTTTATTGGATCCAGAGGTGAAGAAAAGATGCTACTGTTGGATAGGCCAAAAGTTGAGAGAACCTGAGGACAATATAACTAGAATAATTTTGCACTGGAACCCACAGGAGTATAGAAATAACGGCAGAACGAAAACATATAGAAGAGAGAAGAGTGATTGCTAGTGAATTTTAAAAGATATATGGATATGGGGTGAGCTGCATGCTATAGCAAAGAATAGAGTGACTTGAGTTGGTTGAGGTTTTCAGTTTTTATAACTGCTACTTCGTATAAAGCTCTATTTTATTTTTGTATAACAAACACTTAAGTCATGATTGTACATGCAAAGATATTGTTATACTTTATACATCAGTTTTGTATTTTGTTGATATGGCTTAGAATAAATACAGTTACATAAAGCTCATGCTACATAAGGACCGTAGTGTCTAGAGGATAGTGTCTGTTACAAATATGGCCAGTATTTGAAAGATGATTATTCTGGCTGTCAAACAGAAAAATATCAAATAATCAAACAGACCAAGAAGATGGTGAGAAATAATATACAAGTAGACCTATAAACTACAAACTTTCATTAACTGGTGCCTGCGCAGAATAGAAGGAATTAAATGGTAGGATAGAATCAGTAATTTTGAGCTTTAGGAGAGAACTAAACAATTTCTGGTGGACCAAGAGATAAAGAAAAGATGCTGAAGTTGGATGTGACACTCATTGAGAAAACATAAGAACAATATAACTGGAATGTATTTGCACTGGAATCCACAGGGGCTTAGAAATAAAGGCGGACTTAAAAAACACAGGCATGGAGAATGGAACTAGAGAGTGAAGTTAAAAATATGGGGAGGACATAGTGAGAACTGCCTGCGATAGCGAAGGATAGAATGACTTACCGTGAGTTGGGTGAAGGCCTATGTTTCGTTGGGGATTAGAAGATAGAAGAAGGCCTATAAACGCTTGGAATCATCAAGTGAAGAGAAAAGACCAATCACAGAGAGGAATGCAGGTGGGTGATATCTGTAGGAAAAAACCCCAAGGACTTGGAATGCTGAAGAAGAAGAAGACAGAAGAAAAAGAAAAAAGAAACTCACTATACTTCTAACACTAGCCCATTAAATGCTAAAAGTCATTAATTATGATAAATGTGGGAATTTCTCTTTCATAGAGGCCGACATTTGTATCCCTCACCAACATCATGCAACAGATACCAGATGTAGACCAGAACCTGATTAAAGTAAGTCTTCTTTTGATCTGCACATGTTATAAATGATTTATTTGTTGTCAGATGGTTTTCTCTTCTCTCTCTCTTCTGCCTTTCTATCCCCCAATGGAGCATAGGCCCTCAACTAACTCACGCCAAGTCGTTCTATCCTTCGCCATTGCATGGAGCTCTCCCCATGTCCTCCCAATCTTTCTAACCTCTTTCTCCAGCTCTCTTCTCCATGTGTTTTTTGGCCTTCTTTTATTCCTATGCCCCTGTGGGTTCCAATGCAAAGACATTCTAATAATGCTGTTCTCCTGTTTTCTCAGTGTGTGCCCTATCCAACGCCAGCGTATTTTCCTCACTTCCTGATCCACTGGAGCCTGTTTAGTTCTCTCCCAAAGTTCTACATTAGTTATTCTATCATACCATTTTATTCCCTCTATTCTGCGCATGCACCAGTTAATGAATGTCTGTAATTTATTAGTAATTGCCTTGGTTGTTCTCCATGTTTCCGCCCCATACAATAGTACTGATTTGACATTAGAATTAAAAATTTTTAGTTTAGTATTTCTTTTAATTTCTTTTGACCTCCACAAATTCCCTAGTGCTATGAAAGCCACTCTTGCCTTTTGTATTCTTATTTTAATATCTCTATCAGTTCCTCCATCTTTATCTACATTACTGCCTAAATAGGTGTACGACTCCACGTCTTGGAGTGGGGTGCCATTAAGAAAAACCACATTACTATTTGCCTGATTTATTCTCATTATCTTTGTCTTTCCTTTATGGATTTTCAGACCAAGCTGCTGTGATCTCGCATTAAGTATATTTAATTTATCTTGCATCTGATTCACTGAATGGGACAGAAGAGCAATATCATCAGCGAAGTCCAGATCATCAAGCTGTTTTGTAGGGGTCCACTGAATTCCATTCTTGGTGTTAGCAGTTACTGTTTTCATAGTCCAGTCTATAGCCAGTAAAAATAAGAGAGGCGACAAAAGACATCCCTGTCGCACACCTGTTTTTATTTCAAATGCATCTGTTAGCTTTCCCTCATGAAGAACTCAACATTTCATGTCTTTATATGTTGCCTTTACTAAGTTGATAATTTTCTGTGGGATTCCATAGTGCCCCATCAATTTCCAGAGAGATTCCCTATCTATGCTGTCAAATGCTTTTTCATAGTCTATAAATCCAATGTAAAGTGGTGAGTTCAGTTCAATGCTTTGCTCTATTATAATAAGTAATGTGGCTATCTGATCAGTACAGGATCTGTTTGACCGAAAACCTGCCTGCTCATCTCTCAGCATTTTATCAATAGCATCTTTTAATCTTTCCAAAATAATTCTACTTAATATTTGTCCAGGAACTGACTCTATAGTTTTCACACTCCTGTAGATCACCTTTTTTGGGCAGTTTCACAAGATATCCTTCTCTCCAGTCTGCTGGTATTTCTTCTGTCTCCCAGACTTTACTGAATAATCTATGTAGCAATTCTGTTGATGTGTTTATGTTGGTCCTGATGGCTTCAGCTGGGATACCATCTGGGCCTGTCGCCTTTCCTTCCTTGAGAAGATTTATAGCTTTTCTAATTTCCTCTTTGGATGGTATCTCACAAAGTACCTTTCCTTGACTATTTTTGATTGATCCAGTTGGCTGACTATATTTACCTACTAATTTTCTTGTGTTACTGTAAAGTTCTCTGAGGTTTCCTTTTGCTGCTGCTGTCTCTGCTTCTTGTGCTAGATCATTTAGATATTTCACTTTATCTGCCCTCATATGCCTCCTAACTTCCTTGTTGGCTTCTGTGTATTTTTCCTGAGCTCTAGCTTTAGCAGCTCTAGTTTTGCTATTGTTTAATTCTGCCTTTTTACTTTTCCTATCTTCAATCAGTTTAATGGTTTCTGGTGTTATCCATGCTTTATGTTTCCTTTCTTTCTTGCCAAGAACTTCTACGCAAGATTCATTCCAGATTCCTTTGATCTAATCCCAGCAGACTTCTGTGTTGACATCCTCAGCTAACTGCTGCAACACCTGGTACTTATTAGAGACCGTAACTGAGAACTGTTCCTTAATTTCTTTATCTCTGAGAAAGCCTACATTATATTGGTTTCTATGATTATAAGTTGTTATATATCTTTTTAGTTTCAACTTGATTTTACTCACCACCAGGAAATGGTCAGTAAATACATCGGCACCTCTGAAAGCCCTAACATCGTAAAGGGATGATCTAAACTTTTTGTTAATACATATGTGGTCAATTGGATTAGTTGTCTTATGGTCTGGTGATTCCCATGTTGCCTTGTGTATACTTTTATGGGGAAAAATACTTCCACCAATAACATACTGGTTACCTGCACACAAATTTGTGAACGATTCTCCGTTTTCATTCATTACTCCTAGACCATGTCTCCCCATAATTTCTTCATAACCTGTGTTGTCTGATCCTATCTTAGCATTCAAGTCACCCATCAAAATTTTAAAGTTGCCCTTTCTTTCATTATTAATAATATTTTGAAGCTGCATGTAAAATTCTTCCTTAACAGATGCATCTTTATCATTTGTTGGTGCATAACACTGTATTACCGACATGTTCACCTTCTGTTTTACTGTTCTAATAGATGCTCTTATTATTCTGGGACTCACAGCTTCCCATTCTATTAGTGCCCTGTCTGCTTCTTTTGATAGCATCAGGGCCACTCCTTCACTGTGCGGCGAATTTTCCTCTGTGTGTCCTGAGTGAGAAAAAAATAGTTTCTCCTGAATTTAGAATACTTTTCCCTGCCCCAGTCCATCTAGTTTCACATAACCCTAAAATACTAATTCTATAATGTTTCATCTCCTTTACTACTTCCATTGTTCTCCCTATATCATAGAGAGTTCTAACATTCCAGGTGTCAATTCTGGAGGTTTTCCTAGCTGAGAGGAGGTAAGTCAACGATCCGGACTCCTTACGGCTTTCTCCACACCGTGTCATACTTCTTCTATTTGAAGAGCCTCCCCTCATCTTGGTTGGCTGGATTTTATTTGCTTCTCTTTTTGACTTATCCATGGTTGGTTGGTTTTTGTGGCTATGGTTATTACAGGATGAGGTAGCCAACCTCAAGCCCAACCCTTGCCTCTTACGACATGCCTGGTAGGGTGCAGTGTCACTATTCTTTGCTTCCCGTGAGGGCCCCGGTGACACACGGGCGCAGATGGTTTTGTTTTGTCATTATATTTCTGTTCACCTGTTCACCACCCCCCCCCCCCCAAAATATATATATATATATATATATATATATATATATATATATATATATATATATATATATATATATATATATATATAGAGAGAGAGAGAGAGAGACAGAGAGACACAGACACAGACACAGATAGATAGATAGACAGACAGACGAACGGACAGTCAGATTCAGGTCTTTGACCTAGTTGGATGTCGTGTTTCAGGAACTGCTTATGTAACTTAAAAAGTCTATTTTTAATTGCAGAGTATCTTATAATTCGTTTGTCTCAAAGCAATCAAATGGCAACAATGCTATGGAGCAGTAACACCATGAGATATCAATCAGTAAATACCAATTTTCTGACCTACTCTCTGCTACCAGTGCCAGCTTAGACAACAATAACAGAAGAGAAAAGAACAATTTGCGGCTAAAATGTGATTCTTGAGAACAACACGCAGTTACTGAGATGAGAGAGGACTGGAAATGATGAAATCCAAAGATGGTTGTATAGAGAAATAGTATCATTGGAACTGTTCCGGAACAGCAAGCACCAGGATCTGTAAACAACATCACACTCGTACCATCCACATGATGGTGATGGAGCAGTCGACGGCCGTGATTACAGATGCACTTACCAAATCATCCCAGCCTAAAATAGGAACCAGGTAATTTCCTGGAAAGTAAAGGTTGTCAGCATGAAGGATTGCCTCATATGCCAATTTGGCTACTGGCGTGGAAAAAAATGAGACATTTCTTTGCATTTATTTTATTTTACTTTTATTTTTCATCAAATCACAGTGACTGTCCACCATTGAGGTTATGGGGTTAATTAATAAGATGATGTTAAATAAAACAATAGTTTTTTTATTTTTTTTTTAATGGAAATAAGATTTGCTGTCCTTCAGCCATTAACAACAGAGGATCTCATTGTGCTTTTATGTTTTCAGGATCTAGAAGAAAAATTGAATTCACCACCCAAGATAGGTCTTGAGAAGCGAAAGAAGGATGTATTCAAACAAATTGTATCAAATATTATTGGTGTAAGTTTTACATTCTTTTTGTTTTTTCAAAAAATGACCTTGGCTTTCAGGTCGACCTAACCTTAAACGGGTACCAGGTAAACCCTGGGAAGTAAATGTGGCTGGTGTGATGTTGACCATATCATCCACCGAGTCCCGATTGGTCTATAAAATATAGGTCTAGCCCTATATGCCCAATACGCCTGAAGATGTGAAAAATGGTCTTTTCCTAAAGTGTAATCCATAGGATACTCTATGAGTTGTGTGAAAGTATAGTTATGTTCTTGCATTTTTTTAATACATTTTCTGATTTGTCCGACTTCGATGAAAGATCAGGCTTTTTATTGTTAAAATTAATGGCAGGACTGATGTGGGAGAGAACCAAGTTAATGGCAGGACTGTTGTACGAGAGAACCAAGTTAATGGCAGGACTGATGTGGGAGTAGACCAAGTAAATGGCAGGACTGTTGTGGGAGTGGACCACGTAAATGGTAGGACTGCTATGTCCCTTTGACCATGCATGCGATGGATAGATGGAATATCCGAACAGCCATAAATGACAGCATTTACTTAAGAGATACCAGGGCTCGATTACCTGAAACCGAAAGGCAGAGAAATGACTGAAAAGAATAATAGATACATCATACAATTTTATCTCATCTGAACGTTTGAAATTGAGGTTTTCCTACAATGTTAACATTGATTGTTTTTGTTAACTTCAGAAAAACATTGGTCAGCGTTTCCGACGTACAGCCCAGTACACAAATTTACCTCGCCTCTTTCTGGAAACTCGACGACCCAAGGTTGCTGCCCTGGATGAAGTAGAAACAGAAAGCCTTGGGTTGTGTGAACTCTTCTCACCTTCCAACAACTGATGTCCCAGTTGCTGGCCAGTAATTTTTGTTTTATTACATAATATCAGAATCAAAGTTAAAGGTGTTTGGTGTGCATTGATGTGGCTAAGGTTGTTGTAAACTTATTGTAATGTTGTTAGTTATGTAATGTTGATAGTTATGTAATGTTGATAGTTATGTAATGTTGATAGTTATGTAATGTTGATAGTTATGTAATGTTGATAGTTATGTAATGTTACAGACATCACTGGCTTCTAGGGCCCTCTTTTGGGGGGGGGACAAAAGAATAGCACCATAGCTCCATTAACAAGCGTTTGGTAAAAAGCAAATTTGCTGAAATCGGGTGTGTTGGGTGGAAAGGTGAAGATATTGCAACCTAGTCGTAAACCACAACTAAGTGTACCAACTGCCCTTAATTAGGGCACGGAGGAAGAAGACTGGGGCAGTACCACAGGTGCTCAGTCTCTCATCAGTAGATATCAGTATCAAGGTGCTTGTTGTGTAATTAACACTGATATGCTTAGACAATGTAAACTTGTGTGTTACTGTTTGTTATACCAGAACAACATTTACTGCGGCAGACCTAATGTCACTAGGGCAGATCCACCGGTGCTCAGTCTCTCAGTAGATATCAGTATCAAGGTGCTTGTTGTGTAATTAACACTGATATGCTTAGACAATGTAAACTTGTGTGTTACTATTATACAAGAACAACATTTACTGCGGCAGACCTACAGGTGATCTGTAGTTAACGATGAATAGATGCCGGTTGTGTAATTATTCCTCTAAATGTCACTAGGGCAGATCCACAGGTGCTCAGTCTCTCAGTAAACGGATGGTGTAGATGTGTAACAGTTTCTGATGTGTTTCTCTTGTTGTAAACTTGTGTTAATGTTCCTCTGACATCACCAGGGCAGACCAACATGTGACCAGTCTCTTAGTAGATAAAAGAGTGTAAAGATGTTGGTTGTGTAACTGTTTGTTGTGATATTGCTTTATTCCTTGTTGTAAACCTGTGTTAATTTTCCTCCAAACTGACATCACTAGGGCATATCTGCAAGTGATCAGTCTCTCGCAGCAGATATTATTGGCCCTTTGCCAAAGTCACCTAAGTGCTAAATCCTTGTTTCAAGAAAATAACTTTTGAAAATTTGAGATGAAATGAAAATTGTATAGGTGCATGAAAATTAATACTTTACTTTAATAATCTGTTTGGAGCAGGAATTCATCTGTCTCGTGAATATTACAGTTTTACTTCTAGTTTTTTTTTTTTTTTTTTTTTAAATATCTTTTCATTATATTAGTTTTTTTTTTTTTTTTTTTTTTTTTTTTTTTTTTTTTTTTTTTTTTTTTTTTTTTTTTTTGTATATGTTAATAAATTTTTACAAATCTGCACATTGTCCTTGTGTCAACAATATAGTGTATAGATCCTGTTGGTTTAGAAAAATGCACAAGATAATGATAAGAAAATAATCAATTTCAGTTTGAAAAAGTGTGTTCAAGTGCTATGTATGTAGAAACTAAAAAATGCTGAACAACATTTACTCGTGGTAGAGATTTGGTTTGTGAGAAGAATGTAAAGAATATCACGGAGAGATAGAAAAACAAATGAAGCAGCCCTCATTGGGATAGATGAAGGTAATAAGAACAAATTTTGTTTTGTTGTTGTTGACATGTTAAAAGAAGTAATTGACTTGAGAACTTGGTAACAAATGGCAAAATTGATAAAGGAGAGCAAAGAGATAAAATACCAGGATGGCTTGGCCAGATGAATGGGGTGAGATAACATTGCCTGATCCATAATTCTGCTGATGGTATGGCGAAACATGGCAGCCTCTATGCTCACCGACATGGCACATGATGATGATAGAGTGTTTAGATTGGAAGAGGAAACCCACATACATATCACTAGAGCAGATGCATAAAGCACTCAGCCTCTCCCACCAAATATATTGTTGTTTAACTTCCAGTTTCTAGGGTGTTGTGATTCTAAACGGCAGCAAGTCTCAAGTTGTGCTCATGAGCAGTTATAGATAATATATCTGTTATTCACAGTGCAGGGTTCTCATTGAGGATGCTTTGAAATCAGCACTTTTATTGCCACATACACCTGCATAGAAAGTTAAAAAGTTAGTTGCCTATCCTTTACAGGCCGTTGTAGAACCAGCCCCAGCATTTTTTTGCTGTTGTGGTTTTTTTTAAAGGCAAATTTTACATTTAGTAGTATGCCACTGCTTATTAAAAGGTTAGCTCTCCACATCACTGGAAACCAACTCAAGACAAATCATTCGCAGCTGGATTGAACCCGGCACCATGACATTATGAAGTGCGTTCACAATGCCTAAGCCACAGGCGCTGACTCATAGAGAGAGAGAGTACCAACATATTTTATGGAAACAAAATGCTTCATGACAACCCATTCACACTGAAGCCAACCATTGTTTTATCACCCAAAGCCACAACCATGCAAACTTGCATAACATTTCTTCTCTGTTATGGGTTTTAATTGAAAACCACCATTACTCACTCATGCTGCATTTAATACACATTTTTTTAAAATGTTTTAATGGCTGCATTTTTACATCTGTATACTTCGCAGGCATTCGGGATGTGTGAAATTTCAATGTCATTTAAGATGTTTTATGTTGGAATTGCCCCTAAAAAATGCACCTTTAATTCTTCATAATATACTGTTTGATTAAATACAGATTTAAAGATTTTCTCTTATTTGTTCTCTGTATGTACTGGTCAGTGTTTTATAAGAAAGTCTACGTCTCTGGATATTACTAATAAATTGTGGGAAATGAAATCAGCCTACTAATTCCCGGGAAGGTTAATCTGGTCAACAAATGCCTGCAAAAGTCTGATGTGTTGCTGAAAGGCCCACAAATATTGCAGCCATGTTTTAAACGAACACAATTATATTTTTGTAGGAATGCAGAAGAAACCAGCCAGTAATTCAGATGTAGGCTAGCTTTTACAGTATTTTATAGGGCAGGACTCTGTAGACTATTCCAGTGACAGGGTTAGTAAGTTTCCTGAAAACTGCTTGATTTTTACCTTTGGTACTAACACATGTAGGGGACTTAACTGTTTACACAGTTTTACCTGATATCCTCCAGTAATGGCCCTTAGCAGTCTCGTACCATAAATTGGTGTTGGCTTCACAAATCTTCCATTCGGAAGTCATACACCTAAGTGGCTGCTATTGGAAATACGTCAGTTAAGTAATTTTTTGGTATTCATGTCTGTACATGCGTTTTGTGTGTGTGTGAGTGATGTGCTGATAAGGGCTCTGTAGCCGCAACGTTCACTTTCCATTGATGTTTTGTTATGTTGTGAAGTTCCCTGGGCAACTTTTCATCTTGGATTTATATCTTGTCATAGTATTTCATGAGGCAGAACTCAATGTTGGCTGTCACAATATCTTAAGGGGCAAAAGATCTATTTAGCATAGCCAATTTCCTTTTTCTAATATCCTTTAACTTGTCTGTTATCCTCTCTGCTAGTCTCCTTCTTCCAAAGTTTGCTTGCTCATTCATCGTTATCTGAATGCACAAAGTATCTAGTTTGTTCACTATACATTCACCCAACAACACATCAATCAACACATGTTAACACTCATCATTATCTGAATGCACAAAGTATCTAGTTTGTTCACTATACATTCACCCAACAACACATCAATCAACACATGTTAACACTCATCATCTGAATGCACAAAGTATCTAGTTTGTTCACTATACATTTACCCAACAACATGTCAATCAACACATGTTAACACTCATCATCTGAATGCACAAAGTATCTAGTTTGTTCACTATACATTTACCCAACAGCACATCAATTAATACATGTTAACACTCATCATTATCTGAATGCACAAAGTATCTAGTGTGTTCACTATACATTCACCCAACAACACATCCATTAACACATGTTAACACTCATCATTATCTGAATGCACAAAGTATCTAGTGTGTTCACTATACATTCACCCAACAACACATCAATCAACACATGTTAACACTCATCATTATCTGAATGCACAAATTATCTAGTTTGTTCACTATACATTTACCCAACAACACATCAATCAACACATGTTAACACTCATCATTATCTGAATGCACAAAGTATCTAGTTTGTTCACTATACATTCACCCAACAACACATCAATCAACACATGTTAACACTCATCATTATCTGAATGCACAAATTATCTAGTTTGTTCACTATACATTTACCCAACAACACATCAATCAACACATGTTAACACTCATCATTATCTGAATGCACAAAGTATCTAGTGTGTTCACTATACATTTACCCAACAACACATCAATTAACACATGTTAACACTTCAGTTTACCATTAACAAATCACACTAAGACCACTCACTACATGACACTGTTTATTCTGAGTAAAGATAAAACTATAAACATAAAACTAGTGGGAACATTTCCCAGCACAACCATCAGGTAGATAGATCATAGTCTAATCCTGTAGGTACCAGCCTGCACTCCTAGCATGACTGGTGAGTATTACCACATTTAACAACATGTACATACACAGATAATCAAATTTTGTTGCCAAGCATGAGACCTCTTTACCTCTATATAGTCTGGTCTACTCTTTCATGACTACACTATTCACACAACTATTATAAAGCAATGGAATTTAATCTTTAGTGAAATGATAGGTGTATGTATAGAAAGCTTGCGTGTGCAGAAACTGATAGATGGTCAACGATAAGTGAATTAAAGGAAACATTTTATAAACCAAAACTGTTGAAGATTTGATTCATAGTGGGGGAAACAAACTCGGATGTCAGCAGAAGGATGTGTGTGTGTGTGTGTGTGTGTGTGCTTCCTGTGGTCAGTCAAAATGGTTACAAATTCTGTGAAACTACCCTTTGGTGTGGTTGAACTAACTGAGCTGACAGTCAGGATCTTGTATACCTTATTTCCCAAATGGGTTCAGGGGCCCCACTGTGAGGTTTGAAAACTCCCCCCCCCCCC